GAATGTCAAGTTGCTGGCTGACAAGCTGAAGGGAAGTTCCAGCTCTGCGCAAGTGTCAGTTCTTCTGATGCTGACTGGGTCATCCAGTTATTTGTGGCTGGTCTGGGAGCACCATCCCAAAAATGTGGAACTTTGCACCATGCTGAAGCGATTTCCCAGGAAACTCAACTTTGTGATTTGTCCCACTTCGAGAGCCACTCGAGATGAATGGGAAGCGCAGAGCTCACAGGCTCCGGGCATCTTTGGCGATTTTTGGGACAACAATGTCTCCGTGTGGGATGGCTTTGACCGTGATGTTGCCTCAAAAAACCAGATTTGCAGCTTGATTTGCACAGAGGGCAAGAGCAAGAAGGATGTTGGTGAGAAGCCGTCCGCAAGAAATAGGTTCTCGCTGGGTTTGCCGCTGGTGCTTGGCATTTGTGCACTGGGGCTGTGGTGTATAACCCATCTTCAAGGAAAGCTCGCCGCAGCATATGCAGAGAACGAGAAGCTTCAAAAAGATCTTGAGGCAACACTAGCTGAGAAGGAGAAGCTAGAGAGCCTCGAGAGAACACGAACTGAGAAGGATAAATTTCAAAGAAACCTTGATCCCAGCATATCGGAACGTGAGGATTTCTCCGCTGACTACTCCAAAACACCTGAGAAGTGCAGGACTAGTAGAACGAACAAGCTCAGCCCCTGGGAAGTGCTCGCGTTATCTCATGTTTAGACTTTGGTAAACCAAGGAGCTCGGCGTTTTTTTCCAATATTTCACCGATATTTTCCATGTTAGTTTTGGTCCAGAATTGATGCAACAATGGAACAAATGAATAGCCATGATGGTGTCATGTCACGTCTTTTTTTAAAACATATACATTATGCGTATAATGAAAAAACATAATAGCCATGTTAGTGGCCTTCCATCTAAAGTTGAACAGTACTTGACTTCGGACCGAGCACAGGCGTTTGTAGCGTTTGTAGTACATGCGCTAACAATGTACATTTCTAGTAGTTGGCAAACATCCAGCTTCTGCGTCAATGGCAGAGCAAGAAGGCTCTCTGTTTGCTCAAGACCGGAGAGAAAAGGAGCCTGGCAGATTGTCCCAGAGCAATGTTTGTCCTCTCTTACATGCCACATCTTTTCAACATTCATTATTGACAAATTATTGACAGTAGAAAGTGGTGCAGATCTTGATCTTTGTTGAATCCTGTAGCCTCTGTGTTTGATGCTATTGTGTGCTGTAGCCCCATGTAGCCCCCGTAGGCGTGAACATTTCCGGCTAGGAACAGAAGCCACACCATTGTCGCTGTGATAGATACAATTCGGCCCGAGCAATATAGTATTTGTTCTGATTTCCCCTTGGAATGGCAGCGCTTTCAAAATCAGCTCCGCCAAAGCCTATGGATTTGTCTGTGGTGGTGCATGGCGACAAGAGCTTGGAGATTCGTTGGGCAAGGGGAGATGGAGAAGGCAATGACTACGAGTTGGAGCTTCGCTACTTTCGACTTGGTGGGTTGATGATGGAACCTGATCACCCGACTGTGAAGGAAGTGAAAGGTTGTGCAGTGCACGTGCCCCATCCAGAGAACCTGTCCAAAGGCTTCGGTTGGGTCGTGAAGATTGCCTTGCAGGCCAAGTCAGATGGTTTGTTGAGCGAGAAAATCACGCAGCAGGTCAGTTGGGACGATGAATTGGCCGACACAGAGAAAGACCTGGAGGAAAAGATGCCTAAGTTGAAGAGTGAACTTGAAGGTTTCGTTGCTGTCAGAGGCAAACCGAGATTTCTACTGTTGGGAGGTCAGCATCATGGCAAGTCCTCTTTTGCCAACCATTTGTATCGCTGCTTCAACTGTGATTTGAGTCTCAATGACCAGATGGATGTGGCATCAGCTGGAGCAGAAGAAAAGACAGTGGAAACGAAGAGCCTCAGCGTGCCGCTGAATGGCATAGATGTCGCGTTCATTGACACTCCTGCCTTTGCCAATATGAATACGGAGACCGCCGGAAAGCTTCAGACTTTGCTTTCAAGTGGCATTGTGGATGGGGAGCGTCGAGACAAACTGTCGTCAGATAAGCTCAGTTGGTTCAGCAAGCCGCCCCATGGAGCGATTGTGGTCATGTCGCTCATTCATTGGCGCGACCAACCAGATGAGATGAAGAAGTACTTGGAGAAGATGGCAGACGTCTTCAAGAAGGCCTCAGGAGGCAAAGTGGCCTTCCCTTATGTCGTTGCCTGTACTCACCGTGATGTTTGCCTGAAGGAGTGCCAGAAGGAAGATCCGGCGAAAGAGTTGCGGAAAGCAGTGGAAGACATTGGAAAAGCGGCTTTGACGAAGCATGTCTACGACATCACCAACTATGAGAAGGAAGGTCTCGGAAGTGCCCGCAACAACAAGGCGACGGTTGACCTCCTTTCTCAGCTCTTGACCAAGGCCAAGCATGAGAACACTGCAAAAGTGCAGGAGCAGAATAGAACAAGGATTTGGTACTTGGGGGTGCTGATGGTTCTTATTCTTTTGGTGGTGCTAAGGGCCTTGAAATGATGCTTGTGAGCGTCGACCAGTGAGGCAATCATGCCGGGCACTTGTAGTACATGTGCCCATGGGCCTATAGGGCTTCCAGAAATTCTGTAGAACTGCAGTCGCAGCAAGCCCTTCGATTTTTCAGTAGCTTGCTAGAGATGTGATAATATCACAGCAGTGTTCACTTGTTTCCGATGGGCCACAGAGAACTGGCGACTGCCCTGCGTTAAGATTTCAATGCCGTATCTGATACACGCAGGCGACGCGCACAGACACAGACTGTCAAGGGGAAGTGCTCTGTAAAAAAAGGCCACGGCACATCTTGCAGGATTGAGAACCCTACGGGACCCTCCTCATGACTTCGCAGCTAAGTCTCTATTTGATATCAACTAGAACCATGCAGGGGGAGTTCAATGCTCGAACCTTTTCATTGCATTCTTGATGATCGACTCTCAGATCGCTTCCTTTTCAACTTGCTTTCGCTTGTTGGCCCGATTTTCCACGTCTGCTGATCATCACTGGAACTGTTGCGCAAGTCTGGTGGGGCAGCGCCATGTGCAGGCTAAGACCGTCGCTGCGTGAAGGTGCACCGGTGTGGGTCAACAATGTCAACAATTTCGGGTCGAAAGTGGGCACCCCCATGGTCTGTTAATACAGGGAAACTTCAAGAAACACTGAAACACCGAAATCTGTTGTTTTCATGAGCTTACAGTTTGACCTAGATCTGTCGGCTTTCCATCACAGTATCGTTACAGACGTTACAGTCTGGCAAGAGTCCAACAGACGAAACCCTAATGACTTCTCAGGCCACGAGCGGCTTGCCTCTCCAGTGGAATCAGGCGGATGAGTTGGTTGAGCAAGATACAGACACTGAGGTTTTGACAGCAGCATTAGCACCTCTAATTCTCATCAACATCAACATACATCAACCAAAAGATGCTGGGAAAAGAGGCAGGCAGATTTGTTATCAGTTCAGGTGGGTTTCGAGAGGAATGTGTCCGTTGCTGCAGCCTCAGACGTGCTTGAAAGAGTGGAGGTAATGTGAATCTTTGATGAGTCACCCAAAGAATGCGTCAGACGCATCATGATCTGTCAACGACTCTGTGGGGAAAGGGATTTCTTGGGTGATATTTGTCAAAGCTTTGGATTTTTGAAGATGCACTGCTCTTCGCACCTTTCAGCCAGTGCAGAGCTCCCGTTCTGAGGCCTGTGCTAGCGGAAGGCCAGTGGAGTCTACCGTGATGCTTAGTGTTTTCTTGAGCTGCTGAAAAAGTCACCCCAGCAGGTGGCTCCACAGGTGATTTATACATGTGAAGGAGCATGAGTCGCAAGGGTGCCTTTTGCAGTTTGTTTTTGTGGAGGCTTTGACATCGTGAGCGGGATGTCAATGTTTTGACCTGTCACATGTTTTTCCATCAACTCACTTGCTGTGTTTGCAGCAGTGTTGCGGATCTTTTTTGACCGGGAACCAATCTGTATTCCCAATGACGTCTGCCCTGCCACCTCGACATTTGCTTTTCTCAACGTGCCTCGGACTCGAGAAGTGAGCGTCCGTGATGGTTTCCATGTTGCAGGGTCGTACTTAGTCCTTCACAAGGGAAGCAGATGCAAATCAAACCATTTTGTTGTCTCATTTTCTTCTGCGCTAAGGAGCAAAGAGGCCTTGTGGAGCTACGAGCGACACTTGAAGCAGAAGGGAGACGGGCCGGTGGAGCTGTTTCTGTTCTCAGAGCAGGAAGATCTGAATGTCAAAGTGCTGGCTGACAAGCTGAATGGAAGTTCGAGCTGTGCGCAAGTGTCAGTTCTTCTGATGCTGACTGGGTCATCCAGTTATTTGTGGCTGGACCGGGAGCACCATCCCAAAAATGTGGAACTTTGCACCATGCTGAAGCGATTTCCCAGGAAACTCAACTTTGTGATTTGTCCCACTTCGAGAGCCACTCGAGATGAATGGGAAGCGCAGAGCTCACAGGCTCTGGGCATCTTTGGCGATTTTTGGGACAACAATGTCTCCGTGTGGGATGGCTTTGACCGTGATGTTGCCTCAAAAAACCAGATTTGCAGCTTGATTTGCACAGAGGGCAAGAGCAAGAAGGACGTTGGTGAGAAGCCGTCCGCAAGAAGTTTGCCGCTGGTGCTTGGCATTTGTGCACTGGGGCTGTTGTATACAGCCCATCTTCACATGACCCTAGAAGCAGAAAGGGGTGAGTTGGAGAAGCTTCAAGGAAAGCTCGCCGCAACATATGCAGAGAAGGAGAAGCTTGAAGAGAGCCTCAAAACAACACAAGCGGAGACGGATAATTTTCAAAACGATCTCAAGACTGGGAAGTGCTCATGTTTAGACCCTGGTAAAGCAAGGAGCTCGGCCTTTTTCCAATACTTCACCGATATTTTCCATGTTGGTTTGAGTCCAGAATTCATGCAACAATGGAACAAATGAATAGCCATGATGGTGTCATGTCACGTCTTTTTTTTTTACATATACATTATGCGTATAATGAAAAAACATAATAGCCATGTTAGTGGCCTTCCATCTAAAGTTGAACAGTACTTGACTTCGCACCGAGCACAGGCGTTTGTAGCGTTTGTAGTACATGCGCTAACAATGTAAATTTCTAGTAGTTGGCAAACATCCAGCTTCTGCGTCAATGGCAGAGCAAGAAGGCTCTCTGTTTGCTCAAGACCGGAGAGAAAAGGAGCCTGGCAGATTGTCCCAGAGCAATGTTTGTCCTCTCTTACATGCCACATCTTTTCAACATTCATTATTGACAAATTATTGACAGTAGAAAGTGGTGCAGATCTTGATCTTTGTTGAATCCTGTAGCCTCTGTGTTTGATGCTATTGTGTGCTGTAGCCCCATGTAGCCCCCGTAGGCGTGAACATTTCCGGCTAGGAACAGAAGCCACACCATTGTCGCTGTGATAGATACAATTCGGCCCGAGCAATTGGTATTTGTTCCGATTTCCCCTTAGGATGGCAGCGCTTTTGTTCCTTCCCCTTAGGATGGCAGCGCTTTCAAAATCAGCTCCGCCAAAGCCTATGGATTTGTCTGTGGTGGTGCATGGCGACAAGAGCTTGGAGATTCGTTGGGCAAGGGGAGATGGAGAATGCAATGACTACGAGTTGGAGCTTCGCTACTTTCGACTTGGTGGGTTGATGATGGAACCTGATCACTCTCCCGTCACCGAAGTGAAAGGTTGTGCAGTGCACGTGCCTCATCCAGAGAACCTGTCCAAAGGCTTCGGTTGGGTCGTGAAGATTGCCTTGCAGGCCAAGTCAGATGGTTTGTTGAGCGAGAAAATCACGCAGCAGGTCAGTTGGGACGATGAATTGGCCGACACAGAGAAAGACCTGAAGGAAAAGATGCCTAAGCTGAAGAGTGAACTTAAAGATTTCGTTGCTGTCAGAGGCAAACCGAGATTTCTACTGTTGGGAGGTCAGCATCATGGCAAGTCCTCTTTTGCCAACCATTTGTATCGCTGCTTCAACTGTGATTTGAGTCTCAATGACCAGATGGATGTGGCATCAGCTGGAGCAGAAGAAAAGACAGTGGAAACGAAGAGCCTCAGCGTGCCGCTGAATGGCATAGATGTCGCGTTCATTGACACTCCTGCCTTTGCCAATATGAATACGGAGACCGCCGGAAAGCTTCAGACTTTGCTTTCAAGTGGCATTGTGGATGGGGAGCGTCGAGACAAACTGTCGTCAGATAAGCTCAGTTGGTTCAGCAAGCCGCCCCATGGAGCGATTGTGGTCATGTCGCTCATTCATTGGCGCGACCAACCAGATGAGATGAAGAAGTACTTGGAGAAGATGGCAGACGTCTTCAAGAAGGCCTCAGGAGGCAAAGTGGCCTTCCCTTATGTCGTTGCCTGTACTCACCGTGATGTTTGCCTGAAGGAGTGCCAGAAGGAAGATCCGGCGAAAGAGTTGCAGAAAGCAGTGGAAGACATTGGAAAAGCGGCTTTGACGAAGCATGTCTACGACATCACTAACTATGAGAAGGAAGGTCTCGGAAGTGCCCGCAACAACAAGGCGACGGTTGACCTCCTTTCTCAGCTCTTGACCAAGGCCAAGCATGAGAACACTGCAAGAGTGCAGGAGCAGAATAGAACAAGGATTTGGTACTTGGGGGTGCTGATGGTTCTTATTCTTTTGGTGGTGCCAAGAGCCTTGAAGTGATGCTTGTGAGCGTCGACCAGTGAGGCAATCATGCCGGGCACTTGTAGTACATGTGCCCATGGGCCTATAGGGCTTCCAGAAATTCTGTCGAACTGCAGTCGCAGCAAGCCCTTCGATTTTTCAGTAGCTTGCTAGAGATGTGATAATATCACAGCAGTGTTCACTTGTTTCCGATGGGCCACAGAGAACTGGCGACTGCCCTGCGTTAAGATTTCAATGCCGTATCTGATACACGCAGGCGACGCGCACAGACACAGACTGTCAAGGGGAAGTGCTCTGTAAAAAAAGGCCATGGCACATCTTGCAGGATTGAGAACCCTACGGGACCCTCCTCATGACTTCGCAGCTAAGTCTCTATTTGATATCAACTAGAACCATGCAGGGGGAGTTCAATGCTCGAACCTTTTCATTGCATTCTTGATGATCGACTCTCAGATCGCTTCCTTTTCAACTTGCTTTCGCTTGTTGGCCCGATTTTCCACGTCTGCTGATCATCACTGGAACTGTTGCGCAAGTCTGGTGGGGCAGCGCCATGTGCAGGCTAAGACCGTCGCTGCGTGAAGGTGCACCGGTGTGGGTCAACAATGTCAACAATTTCGGGTCGAAAGTGGGCACCCCCATGGTCTGTTAATACAGGGAAACTTCAAGAAACACTGAAACACTGAAGTCTTTTGTTTTCATGAGCTTACAGTTTGACCTAGATCTGTCGGCTTTCCATCACAGTATCGTTACAGACGTTGCAGTCTGGCAAGAGTCCAACAGACGAAACCCTAATGACTTCTCAGGCCACGAGCGGCTTGCCTCTCCAGTGGAATCAGGCGGATGAGTTGGTTGAGCAAGATACAGACACTGAGGTTTTGACAGCAGCATTAGCACCTCTAATTCTCATCAACATCAACATACATTAACCAAAAGATGCTGGGAAAAGAGGCAGGCAGATTTGTTATCAGTTCAGGTGGGTTTCGAGAGGAATGTGTCCGTTGCTGCAGCCTCAGACGTGCTTGAAAGAGTGGAGGTAATGTGAATCTTTGATGAGTCACCCAAAGGATGCGTCAGACGCATCATGATCTGTCAACGACTCTGTGGGGAAAGGGATTTCTTGGGTGATATTTGTCAAAGCTTTGGATTTTTGAAGATGCACTGCTCTTCGCACCTTTCAGCCAGTGCAGAGCTCCCGTTCTGAGGACTGTGCTAGCGGAAGGCCAGTGGAGTCTACCGCGATGCTTAGTGCTTTCTTGAGCTGCTGAAAAAGTCACCCCAACAGGTGGCTCCACAGGTGATTTGTACATGTGAAGGAGCATGAGTCGCAAGGGTGCCTTTTGCCCTTTGTTTTGTGCAGGCTTGGACATCGTGAGCGAGATGTCAATGTTTTGACCTGTCACACGTTTTTCCATCAACTCACTTGCTGTGTTTGCAGCAGTGTTTCGGATCTTTCTAGTTAGGAACCAATCTGTATTCCCAATGACGTCTGCCCTGCCACCTCGACATTTGGTTTTCTCAACGTGCCTCGGACTCGAGAAGGGAGCGTCCGTGATGGTTTGCATGTTGCAGGGTCGTACTTAGTCCTTCGCAAGGGAGGCAGATGCACATCAAACCATTTTTTTGTCTCATTTTCTTCTGCGCTAAGGAGCAAAGAGGCCTTGTGGAGCTACGAGGGGCACTTGAAGGAGAAGGGAGACGGGCCGGTGGAGCTGTTTCAGTTCTCAGAGCAGGAAGATCTGAATGTCAACGTGCTGGCTGACAAGCTGAATGGAAGTTCGAGCTCTTCGCAAGTGTCAGTTCTTCTGATGCTGACTGGGTCATCCAGTTATTTGTGGCTGGACCGGGAGCACCATCCCAAAAATGTGGAACTTTGCACCATGCTGAAGCGATTTCCCAGGAAACTCAACTTTGTGATTTGTCCCACTTCGAGAGCCACTCGAGATGAATGGGAAGCGCAGAGCTCACAGGCTCCGGGCATCTTTGGCGATTTTTGGGACAACAATATCTCCGTGTGGGATGGCTTTGACCGTGATGTTGCCTCAAAAAACCAGATTTGCAGCTTGATTTGTACAGAGGGCAAGGGCAAGAAGGATGTTGGTGAGAAGCCGTCCGCAAGAAATAGGTTCTCGCTGGGTTGGCCGCTGGTGCTTGGCATTTGTGCTCTGGAGCTGTGGTATATAGCCCATCTTCACATGACCCTAGGAGCAGAAAGGGGTCAAGTGGAGAAGCTTCAAGGAGAGCGCGCCGCAACATATGCAGAGAAGGAGAAGCTTGAAGAGAGCCTCAAAACAACACAAGCGGAGAAGGAGAAACTTCAAAACGATCTCAACACAGCACAAGCAGAGAACGAGAAGCTTCAAAAAGATCTTGAGGCAACACAAGCTGAGAAGGAGAACTTTCAAAACGATCTCAACACAGCACAAGCAGAGAACGATACGCTTCAAAAGGTCGTTGTGGCACCGGCTGGTACGAGCCGCTTGTGATGTTGGGTAATGTCAAGACGTCTGGTGAGATCCTGGAGTTCATGAGTAATTTGTAGTTTGGAACGCCATCCGCCGTCTCTGACAAATGCCTGTGTTTGATGGTCGCACAGAAGGCAAAAGTTTTGCCTCCAGTTCTGGGAGACCTGCGTCGTCATCCTGTAGAAAAGGGGCAAGTGCACTGCAGTTCTTTTCCATGTGTCTTCATTGGTTGGACCAGTGCTGTCAGTTTGACTCTTCCTTTGCGCTGGTGTACCTTGACTTGGCTTGACGGAAGGCGAGCAAGTGTGGATGCTATGGAACTCGCAGGCACAACATCGGGTTGCAAAAAACATGGTACGTGGATGATACAGAGGTGCGCAGTCAAATTTAGTCAAGCAGCGGGGAGGGTCTGTTGTTTCAATTGATGATTGAGCCTTCTGAGGCTGTAAACATCGCAGATCATGTCAGTTGCACGGAGTTCACGAGATAACGCGCTTTCTCAAAGTACATTCTCTGAATTGGTTGAGATCAATCATGAAACAAATCGAATCATACCTGTGTCCCGAAAGAAGGGTTGGGGGATTGACCTGGTTCTAAGTAACGTTGTTCCCCTGATGGACCCAGGATTGAGCTGTGCTAGTCCAAATCTGACAGGTGTTGTGTCAAGATTGACCCTTCCCCAACACATGTCAAATGTTTTGAAGGCAATTTCAGCCAAACTCTGTAGTGTTCTTTTGTGTTCCAGAGCACGGATGTGAGTGGTGTATCCACTGGAAGAAGTATTTCACAGCTTCCCGCGTGGTAGCTTTTGTAGCACCTCATCACTCATCTTCTGTTACCCCTTGAATCCGTTGAACTTCAACAAAGGATATACAATTTGCATATAAAGAGGCCCAATCATGTTCACCACGCTGTTTGGAAAGCGCATGGTTTGGTCTTCAGGTTGGAGTTTGCCACTCCTGGCAAAGTATGAGCAGAATGGTGGGGGCCTGGAATGAATGTGTGCTGAAGTTTTGGATTTATGCAGATGAGTAGGATCTTCAAACTGATCAGAGAACCGTTGTCCTTGTATGGTTGTACCTGGTTGCAGAGCTCCTTGGCGAGGAACGTCACGTTTTCAGTACACACACACACGTACACTCGTACCTCCACGGGGATTGACTGCATGTGCATGTTTATAATGTGACGGTCTTGCTATGTTTTTTTTGCTATGTCTTGTTTGGCGATCACTGACCTTCAATGAAGGGGTCTTGATTTGTGTGTCTGGGTTGATACATGGAATTCATCTCTGGGCTACGGCAACTTGCGCCAGATTCATCATGGCTTATTGATGCTTATTGCCAATTTCTTGGGTTTTTGCCGGAGGGCAGTTGGGTCAGGCCTCGGCCCTCAGGTTTGATTTGCAACCCTGGAAGCCGCAGCCGTGCATAGGTGCGCCAGGTACGCCTTGACGCTGTCAATCGCTGTCATGTGGCGTGTTGGATGAGATCAGTTCGTTGTAATTACTGCGAGTGGTGGCATCACGTGCTACTTCTAGTGATTCCTGCTTCAACGTGTTTTTGATAAATGTGATTCCTGATTCTGCCTGTACTGCATCGTCAAAATCTACAATGCCAACAGGAACTTTGTTATGTCATTGGTTTCTTATTCCGATCCTGCATGAAAAATACTTTGCCCGTGGCTCAAGCAGACATGTATACTACCATCTGATTGTTGGATCTTATCTGTCTGGTGTCTTTTTTTCCTGAGCTCATGGCTGTCAATGGCGCAAGTGTTTCTATGGCAAGCTGTTCAAAAAGTGCTGGCCCTGTTGCGACCCGCCAAAACCAGATCCAATCGAAGATCCAATCGAAACAAATCCACTCGAACCAGGCACATGGCACACGCCATTGGCCGAAGAATGGGCTCGGATCAGTACAATCGATGGAACCGTGGCACAGCGCCAGCTTTGCCATCAAGCAGTCGGATGCTGAACCCTGACCTTAAGAAGACTGCCAGTGCAATCTACAACCCAAACCCGAAGGGCAAGTGAGTAGACCAGGTGAATCACCGGGCCACCCCAGGTTCACCATTTGACCGCTTCTTTGATCCTTTTAATTTACAATTTTTTCAAAACTTTTGGATTTGAGGTTGATGCCATTGATTGCCATCCTACTCCCCTAAGAATCTCTCCTCAAATCTGAATTTCCCAGTAAATGCCATATATAAAATATAGAATCCAAAAAGATGTGCAGCTGTGAGCGGGTTTAATCCAGTTTAAACTTTCTGATTTTTTGGAGGCAATTTTTATGGGAGTTGGTTGGGAACCTATGGCACTATGGCGATTGTCAGTGTGGTGCATTGGGGGTGTTCAGAATGCTGCTGGGAGTAAGCGGCCTCCAGTACCAATGCCAATTGACACCCCAAGACCTAGCACCGAGTGCACCAAGTCTTCAGGGCTGCTTGGACTGAAGGAAAAACACATCGAACAAGCGATCTAACTTTTGAAATGGTTTGACCCTTCAGATTTCAATGGCCATGTTGTTGCACAAATTCAGCATCTTGTGGCAGTTGTTTGGGTCCTTTCTCCATGCCCCGGCCGCAGGAAGAGGTCATCAACGTCGTGCACACCTTCGTTCCGCGGCTGCTGCGCATATGCTGACAGCAGTTCCGAGTGAGAAAGGTGTCGGCGTCGCTTTGTCCGAGCTGTGCAGTGACAACCACACGCAGTGTCAGTTGGAACAGTGTCGCCTTGACCTTGACTGCGTCGTTCTAGCCGATGGCATGGATGAAATTCAGTGGAATCCGCCCTGCAATGTTTGGCAGAAATATTCTTTTGGCATCTTTTGGCATGCCATCATTGAAAGTGCAGGGCTAAGTTTGAACTACATCCTCACAAGTGCCTCAGTTGCTGGAATCTTTTTCAGGTTGATACTTCCGGGGTACTTGCAACGCCCCTTTGTCCTTGCACTTGGCTCCTTGTAAGAAAAATATACACGAAAAGAACAAGTCATGTAATTGGAAGACACCATTTTTTTTGGTTTGGAATGATGCTTCTTAGCTGTGCTATTTACACCTGAAGCAACACGGGATTAACGATCCAGTGTGCCAAGATGAGGATATCTTTGCATTCACCTACAAGCCAGAGCATAGAAAATCATGGCATATTTGACATCATGCGATTTCAATTTCTTTCTCAGTTCAATAATCTCAGCGACTCAACCTGTCCCACATCACCGGGACCTTCATAGCAATTGCACTCAACGGCCGCGTCCATCGTGAAGCGATGAGGGCGGCTGAGATGCGGATAGGCTGTGGCACCTTGTGCTGGTTGCTGTTGTTGCGCCTGGGATCGCAGCGATTTGGTTTTGACTTTGGAGACATATGGACACGGTTTGATTATGTGTGATCACCATGTGCAAGGCCTTTGTAGACTGGGTTATGTTCACAGATTATACATTCATATTCATATTATATATTTTATTATATATATATATTATTTATTGTATTCATATACAATCATATTCATATTATATTATATATAGTATTGTATTCATATATGTCTCAAATGCTCCATTTCAGGGCGAACAAAATATAAAACCCTCGTGGCTTTTCACTTTCCCAGTGACATCAGCTTTGATGAGGTGCAGGACCGCCTCCATATTAGTGCCTTGGCCGAAGCTTAGATTCTTTGGTTACCTGACAATCGGAAATTCCCATGTCATCTGCACCCTTTCCAAGTTTCATTGGAACACCGATGCCAGCATCAGAGCTTGTCACTAAGGTACCAGGAGAGTGGACGCAGCATGGCTGAATGACGTTAGGAACTCGTAGGAAATCCAAGGAGTGAGGTCAAATTGTGAACAGTTGATCTATAGCAACTTTGGGATTGCCAATGGCCCCCTCCTCTTTGACTTGTGGTGCACTTTATGTACTTGATCCTTTTGGAAGCTTCAAACGGCAATCTGACTTTGCATATACTGCTGGATTGATTTTGCGCCAAAGACATCGCTTCTACTCACTTTTGATGAGTGCTTCGGTCAGCTCTGAGCGCATTCAACACCTACAGGCTGAATCCAGGCTGTGTTTCTAGGACTTATTTGTGGAAGATAGCAGGGACACACTAGACCCACCCTGGAATTATCAATTACTCTAGCCATTTGGCACGTGTCCACCCTTCATCATTGTGTCAGATTAGCAGTGACTAAAGACTGTCTAAAGTTTGGGTTGATGGTCCTGGGCTCAGAACGGGATCCAACTCTCCAGTTTGAGAATCCCAGCAACCAGTAGAACCAGATGATCCCCCAGGCAATGATATGCCAGGGGCCGTTGAATTTGGCCACACGTTCTGATCGTTTTGAGGACCTTGCGGATGAAAATGACAGTGTCTTACCTGCAGCTGAGAACGGTCACTTTTGGACAGCTACAGGGCAGTGTCGGAGTAGCAGCTCGTAGTCAGACGGGTTGTAGGATGGCCAGGGAGGGGTTAAATAAGGGACCTGATAATGGAAAGAAGCAGGGCAAAGGCCCGTCCTCCAGCCGCTGCGAAATTGAATGTGATAGGTCTGATAGATGCTGGTATTATCTATCTATCTATCTATCTGTCTGTCTGTCTATCTGTCTGTGTGTCTCTCTATCTATCTATCTATCTGTCTGTCTGTCTGTCTATCTGTCTGTCTGTCTATCTATCTATCTATCTATCTATAAATATATGTATGGAGTGTTTTCTTTCCTGGTCGGTCTCCGACCCACATTGCAACCGTAGGAATTGCCCATTTACCTCAGCCGAGACTTAGTTCTTCTGCACACGTTCTGATGAAGAGGAGTTATTCATTGCCGCCACAAAGCGAGTGTTGGCATTGGGCCATATCCCATCCTACCAATCTTTTTGGTGGTTCTTACGCTTTTTCTCCCCCTATCTCTCTCCCTCTCTCTCTCTATAGTCCCGTCAGGCCTCCATTGCCCTGTCAGGCTTTCAATGCCAATGGATGGAATGGTGCCACCTATCAGATTTGGAACGCGAGCAACGTAGGCAAGGGCTCTGTTTGTAACAGCTCGGTTGATCATTGCAGTTTTCGGTTAGCAAAAATTGTTCCATAACATGTTTGATTCCCTCTTTTCATCAAGACTTGATGAAGTTCATATGAGGAGGGACTTCAACGTTATCAACTTTTGCGGTTTGCAACCCTTGTGTTGTTTTTGTCCTGTTTTTTGTGGAGCGAACTTGATTTTTCTGCCAGTGGCATATATCAAGCGTCAAAGGTTCTGGGGGATTTTCAGAGACGTGGGGTTTCTTTCCAAATGGGGGGTGTGAACAGGAGGGAATTGGGGTAAAGTGACCCGTTTGGTCCTCAGTATCTTCAATTGCGTGGCCACGAATTCGGGAACAAACATATCATCATTTCATAGCAAGATGTTCTATTGGAAAGCAAACGATCTGGGGTATTACCCTTTTTTTGGGAAACATCTTTATCCTCTTCAGGTTGTTGGTATAAGCCTCGACCCTAGCAGATCATTATTCATTTTTACGACAATATTCACTATTATTCAATTTTATGATGCTTGATTCCCTACAGAATGTTTTTTATGATTCAATTCCTCATCATAATTAAACATTCTGGCATGGATTATTCATTACTATTGTTTCCCTTCATTACCCTACAGAATGTTTCACTCATAGAATTGGATGATGGGAAAATTGGAACCGGAAAGCCCTATATTTGATGGTAAAAACCCATGGGTTTCCGGTTAAGATTTTCCCAACAAAACCAATCCGTTGTGAATCACATCTGGCACCGCCTCCATGGCACCGGCCTCGACAGGTCAGACAATCGACTGGCAACTCACCATGCGGGACAGCATGTACGCAGGATGGAATGGCCACGTCCTCAGCTGCCATGGATATATCTACAGCTGCTACATGTTAATGTCTGTTGATAACTTGATAACTTTAATATATATAATATTGATCCACATATCATATATATATACATATATATATATATATACACGCACGCATAGTAAACACGTATATATATATATATATTATGACATGTGTATAAACCAACAAACATAGCTGGGGTCAGAAGACATTGCAGGAACTTTGGGACTTTCCAAATCTTAGCCTTGATCTCATCAGTGGAATCAGTCCAGCGAGCATTCTAAAGGCCAGCAGTGGCTGGTGGCTGTTTACTACAGGGGTTGTGATGATCCTCTCATTTCTCAGGGGCACTTACTACAGATCTTGGGTATCCTGGGGTATCCTTCAATTTTGAGGTGCCTGGTCCCCAATCTCAAGCTTCACAGTTGGGTGTAGCTGTGAGCCGACCCAAGGCAACGAGTGGTATTTGAAGGATGAGAGTTCTTGGATCCAATGGATGGGGCTTGGGAACGTGAGTGGCGCAGCGGCGCAGGTTTCAAGCTCCAAAGATTGATCATTCTGGGGCAGTTCAGCAGCCGAACCCAACAAAATCATATCCAAGCATGACTGCTGGCAGGGGTTTCTCTGCCCATCTTTGCGATAATTATTGACTATAATCACATCACATATTGAGTATAACCAAGCTGGGGATCTTGTGTGGGGCAACTGAACTGTGAGACTTGTACTAGGGACGACTCTTGCCGAGTCCTGGTACAGTGTGAGCCTACATTCCTACATGTGGACATCCAAGCCCACAGAACTTTTCAGGGTTTTTGGAGATACCAGTGGATCCTGTGGCAATACTACATTTGATAAACATAAACCAAACAAATAGGGGCATCAAACTGGTTTGATGCTTCCTCGGGGTTTGTGAATGTCCACCAAGTCCCACAAGCCAAGTTACCCAAGAAGTTTCTGTGCGCTTCCTTTTTGGAGGCTTCACATGAGCTTGAGAATAAAAGAATCATGGACGCCAAGAAGCTGTGATACTTGAATAGGGAGCTCCTGTGGCCTCAAGTGGGGATCGATATTACCACGGACTTCACCCTCCTCAGGTGACGTGATACTAGCGAACGGAACGATGAACAGCGGACTGTTCGAGGAGTTCGTGACGTTCTCGACCACCGTGGGCACGGTGTTGAAGCTTTCCGTGTGGAAGGGTGGCTTTGGGTCAAACTTCCACAGATGTTGGGAACGTAGGGCATTGAATGGCCATTTGGGAAGGGTTGCTTTGGGGCCTTATGAAGTTCATTTGCATTGGCATAGGAGTTTTCATCGACGGGGATGTTTTCCGGGATGTGTTTGGTTTTAGAGACCCAAAGTCAGTGGTCCTGATGCCAAACTGACCAACATGTTGTGAGAGGGTGATAAGGATGATCTCGATGATGTTGATGATGCTAGCAGACCATTCAAAAAGAGCTGCAGAGTTTTCCTTGGACTTCGCACTGTCCACTTGCCTTCGTGGTGCAGAATGAGCCTTCCAGATCCAACAGATCCAACACCACCCGGTGCCTGAGGAAATTTACCATCGATCCGACCAACGGAGGCACTTTGAAACGGCAGCATCAACAGAGGGGGTTTCAAGCAATACATGGGACTTTGACATATTTTAACAACAAGAATCAAATGAATATAACTAGACTATGACTAGAATATATACTGTAAGTGATATTTTTCTGGAGGGATACAATTAATATTCATGGGGGTAATAATAGGATGGCATGCAACTGAGGGGTTGCTGCTGAACCCTGATTTCAGTAGATGATGATGATGGTGAGTAAAACAGTATGACTCATAATGACCCACATGTACAGCACATTGATCGGTGTACAAGAAACCATCAATAAACCATTCCAACCGTCCGGGATCATTTTAGCGGCCAAAGAATGGGACGATTCACTCTGACCAACTCCAACTTTGTTACACTCCCATAGTTGTTGACGTGTCTCAAACAGGACACGGTTGCAATGACGGGAACCCCCGGCTTCAAGATCAGATGATCCCTTAGGGTGATTTGTGACAGTTACCAGCAAGATATGCCGGATCTGCACGGATTTTCTCAGTGTCAACTCGTTGGAGGTCAACATCTACGGTAGTGGCCGCCTTTTTATGGCCTATCCAGGATATCCTCTGAAATTCGATCATCGCCCCATATGGCCCATATAAAATTGGTCCATTGGTCACAAGACCGGTGACAGGGACCCCACCGGATCTTTTCCGAGGCTACAGTTCATACCACTCCTGGGTCCAGCCGTCCAGTTGCAGCTGCTCAGCATCCCAATCCCAACCATCCAAACCATCCCAAAAAGGCATGTAATTGATGTAATTGATGTTGGGATTGATGGGATGGTTGGGACATGACCAATCTGTAATTAGATCTGCAATCCAAAACAGAAGAATTCTTAATCTACCGATTCACCGAAACAGGGCCGGGACATGTCCAATCTGACCTAGTTACTTGCTGGTTTTGCTGAGGGAAAATCTCGAAAATCGGATGACCATCTGCCAGGAGATTGGGACCACCACGGAAATCTTCTATTCGGTGCAGGAAAGGGTGATTGACTCCATGGGACTCCATGGCGACTGCTCTTGGATTCGTGGACCATGAAGCCATTGAATGGCTGTATCAATGAGGAACATGGCTGTACCATAGAATTTAGGGTTCCAATTTTTTGCAGGTGAGATCACAGACCAAAGTATTTCAGATTGGAAATTCCCTCTGAAAGTTTTTGCGGCACCATGATTGGTGCGCCGTGACAGTGATACATTTGCTGCAAGTTTTTGACATCCATCCACTCCCAGAAGTTGAAAGGAAAATTGACAAAATTGACAAAACTCCCTCCTATGTTATGTAATTAATGGACATTCCCTGTGATTTTTCCCACATTTTCCCAGCGACAAAACCTTTCAGGAGGGCGCCGCCAGCTCCATTCTGCACCCCACTGACCTGCAGTTCACCATGCCAGGCAGCCTCCCGTTTCGCCATGGCAGCTAGTTCTGCAGTTGTTCCCTGTAAGGCAATTGATTCACCGGTTTGAAAAGCCAGTGGGCCACCATGTTTTCCATACTGATTTGCGCATTTTGCGCAACCTGAATGCAGTATCCTTCGTTGCAAGGGCGGATTTCCCAATGGACAGCTCGGTGACTCCTCCCAACCAAACACTCATAACACGCAAAATATACCGACCCGAAAAACATCTGATTGGTGATTGGTCCTTTCAAATGTTCTTTAAAGGATCAATCATAACATCCTCAATATCCTCATCAACATTTACTCATTTCAACTCATTTCATCCAGTTTCATCCAATTTCCCCTTGGATCATTCCTGATTTCACCAAACCAGTTCCGCCGTTCCCCCAGCCATGTGTTTCCACAGCCATGCCACGTTTCACCGTGGCGCCATTGCTGGCTGTGGCTGTGACCGCGACCGCTGTGACTGCTCCGGCGTCCTGCTGGAGCGATGGCAGCTGGCTGGAGTGTTGCACCGGGCCGCGGCGGTGCTGGAGCAATGCTCGCAGACAGCAGCGTCTTGACATTTCTGTATCGAAATGACTAAGATATCTGGTGTAATGTACTATAAAGACATTTGGTAAAAAAAAGACCAATTCTGACTACCCAAAATTAACCCCTGTTGATTTTATAGCATTTTATGGCTGGGTACTGTAAATCCTGTCGTTGGCAAAACCCTCCATGTCTGTTGTTTAACATCCCCATGTTTCTTGGTTCAAATTCCTGCCATAGCTGCCCCAAGGAACTGCTGTAGCAGTTCGCCGGAGCATGAACCCATGCAGACGGATCTACATGTTTGTAGCTGGGCCTTGATCACTTGTGGTCATTGGGTTTCCGAGTGGTAGACACACATGTGTCTCATAAAAGTCATTAAGAGTCCATCAGAAATCTATAGATTCTACAGATCTAGAATGGATTTGCATATGCTTGATCGACTGCATAGACTGTATATACGCTTCCATATCTGCACCACCACTTGGAAGAATTGAAGACCATTTGGATGTGCATTCTGATCATTCTGGTTGGAAACTGCTCAGTAACTCTTGCCAGTAAAGTTCCCAATTCCCGGGCATCGGATTTACAACTAGGATCAACTAGGTCAGAACCATGGTGATACCACTCACCACTTACCAACTGGGGATAATCCGCCGGGGCACGACCTCGCCCAGGTAGCAACGACCTCGCCTTTCGAAAAACTTATCGCTTAGTGAAGCACCAAAGCTTGGGCCTTGAAGAGGACCTGCGGTGCCGACTGAACTCTTGGAATAGTTGGGGAACAAATCGTGTCAGCTGAAAAAACATGGGGGGATAACGGGATAACTTTCAACATCTTTCAACTTTGGGTAGTAACCATGGCTACAGCACACTTGAACGGGGTACCATCACTTCAAGGAGATTCTGGAACCAGGGTTATATATTCATTAGCGGGAAACTGGGATGTTCCCAATTGGGCAGCTTAGCGACAGCATGGCGGCACCCCCTTTTTTCAATGCAATGCACACGGCCTACACCTGTGGACTTTTTCCAGCTCGAATCCCCTACATCTTCCAGGGCAATTCTACCTCACATGAATTCCACAGCTACATGGGACACCAGTTCCCACCAGTTCCCACCAGTTCCCACCAGTTCCCACCAGTTCCTCAGTTGAAGCAGGACTGTGTGTCCCTGGTGGCTTGCAAACCCACCGAAGGCAGCTGGAGAGCGTTGGAGATTGGGGAGCCAAAGTGTTGCTTTGCTGGACACTCCCAGGGTTTGTGAACCCCAAAAAGGGCCAGCTTCGAACTGGACCAAACTTGGGGGATTTTTGATGATTTTGTGGGTCTGGTAGAATTCCATTTTTGTATCCCTATCCTCTATCCACATGGTTTGAATAATCGCTTTCAATTTATCTCTGCATTTTTGGCAATGGTTTATCCGAGATTTTTATGTGGAGTTGTGGGATGTGAACATCAGTCTGGATTCTTGTCTCAGAGGCAGCCATTGTTCAATCGGGAGCTTTCAATGGACCAATGCCAGATTTTTCATCGGTAAAGAAGCTCAGATAGTTTTCTTCTTGTTTTTGCTTGACAGCCCCCCCAAAATCATGGATCTCCCAACCCACCAACAGTCACCTTTTTTTGTCATCAGATTTATGATATTTCCCCCTATTAGCCTTCAGTATCACCTAGCAATGGGTGGGGGCCTCAACCAACAAACCCGGGGGTTACACTTGACTAAACCAACCAACATGGGGGATTTAAGTAGATTTGAACCAAGATTAAGATGTTTCACCAAGCAACATGGATCATTTTTCCCGTTTTTCCCATTTTTCCCATTTTCAGTGGATAAACTACTGCCAAAATTTCCATAAAGCCAAGGCTCCGCCGGATCATCCACTTCGCTGACGCTGGAAATAGCGGACGCTCTCTGTGCGACGTGGCATGGCATGACGACCTTGTTGGAGGAGTGATGAATGAACCAGGGAACAAGACTGGGAATTTCCGAAAATGTGGAGATGTTCTATTCCATCATATCAAAAAGGCATATTTGTACATTGCTACATTTTTGCACTTAGACAAAAAGGATTTGATAGCGACCCATCCAAATGGCTATGGATTGACCTTGCGGAAATCCAGCGCTTTCCGCACGGAAACTGAGCATGACATTGTGCTTGTTCAGTGCCAAAAAAAAACGCAGGGTGTTGTTTTGCTGTAGGTTTCATCACATTTCGATTTTTGGATGCCAAGTACACGAAACATTATCTTTTTAAAACCTTTTTACATCTTACTATTTTGTTCAAGACGGGGCAGTGCTCTGTCTTGGTCTCCCTCTTCTCTCTCTCTCTCTCTCGCTCTCTCTCTCTCTCTCCCTCCCTCCCTCCCTCCCCCTCCCTACCTTCTGGAATAGTGCCTTTACAATTCTCATAATATATATATATGTATATGATTATATATATATATTATGATTATATATATATATTATGATTATATATATATGATTATGTATATATATAGGATTATATATATAATTATAATTATATATATATATATATATTGTAGAGCTTCGCACACCGGCGTTGGTGTTGTTCATGTGCTCTGCGCGTGCGCGCAGGTGCAGAGCACAGTGTGATGTTCTTGTCATACCGCAGCTTGTAACCATCTTACCGCACATCTTTTTGTCGCATTTTTGTGTTTGTGCTTTTGCTTGTGCTGCTTCTTCTTCTTTTTCTTGTTCTTGTTGTTGTTGTTGTTGTTGTTGCTGCTGCTGCTGTTCTTGTTCTTGCAACACGGCTTATTTACGCGTGTTTGTGGACCCCTAAAAATCCTCAAATAGGCGGTGTTTTCGCACATGTTTGAGACCCTCACGCAGTTTTCACCATGTTGCAAGATGTAATTTCTATATGCAAAAGGGCTAAAACACTGTATTCTTACGATGTTTTTGCTTCCCGAGCCCAGCAAAAAATCGTCAAATCGACTTCCAAAATCGACTTCCAAAAGTATCTTATGATTTTAGCACCTTTTTTCCCGGCAGCCCCGGACCCCCAAAAACGTGAAAACACAGCGAGATTGGGGGGTCGACGGCAGGCGCACGCCCCCGGCTAGCTGGCTAGCTAAAGCTGTGGCTGCAAGGTGCACATGAATCACCCTGCGATTGGCTGTCTTTTCTAGAGGTTGCCTCCTGGCATCGATTCTGAACCCGTCCACGTGATGTAACGTGATCTATTCGTTTGTGCGCCGCCAATTTAACGGAAAAGAGCGCCTTCGCCACACTCAAACAGCATTGAAGGACGAAACGGGCCTCCGGGCAACGGCCTAACACCTTTCTGCTCTTGCCGCCGCTTTCTCCTGCCTGCTTGCTCTTGCTCCTAGCCCTTCGCGCGAAAGGACAGACGAGGCCTTTGGCCTGCGGCTGCTTCTTTCAAACGTTGCTGTTTCTGTGCTTCCTGCTTGCTTCTGTTTTTCCCCTTGCTGCTCCGTCAGTAGGCTTCTCGCAACTTGCTAACTTGCTACTTGTGCTGTCTTCTCTAGGTCGGCGGATATATATATAGCCTAGCCAATAAACCGTTTCTGGATCTAATGTCACTGAAGTCCCACGATTTCATACCCCAACTCCCCAGCCATGACCATGGGAGCTCTTGAGCTCAGCTTTGCAGAGTTGGCGTTTTCCCCATAGACCTTTTGATTGGGATTACTTTCTGGCAAAATTGGGAGTTGTTTGACATCACAGACCAGCTGGAATACGTACCTTTAAGATTTGCTATTCAACAGACCAGTCTCAATTTTAGAGAATAAAATGTCAAACCGATATAAGTACATAGAATTTGCATGTTCTGCCACAAACGGTTAGACATTGCCCCATCCACAATTTTATCAACACGTTCAACCGTTCCACCAGTGAAATTTGCACCAACCATCACCAAGGGGTTGTTGTGTTGTTTCCCAAGGTTGGATCCTTTTCCTCCAGAGTCGTGGTACGATGCACCGGGTTTCGAACTCGCCCGGCGGAGACATCGTTTTGGCACTGCAGCCAGGGATCATTGCGCAGTGCCAGCGTGGATGTAACCTGGTAGCATTGCGTAGCATTTTCTTGGGTAAAGAGATGGGATCAGATATTCATGTCCCTACAAGTAGAAAATCCACCGATTGGGATCAAGGTGGTGTTTCCATTTTTGTTGTCAAGATGAGATGGTATCATGGTCCGGCCCACAATGACATGTTGCAGCGGCAGGTACTTGAGAGAGGAGCCGCTTCGGTTGTACTCGCTGATTCAGGACCGCTACGGACCAGGGAAACTTTGGCATGGGAGGTTTCGCACTGATGATTTGTTGTTGAGGATACACAGGGAATGGGTCATACGGAAACCAATTCACCAAGCATGATGAGCACTCCTGATGGATTCTGCAACTGTTCATTTTCAAAGTAAAACCTCTCAGATAGGCAGACTCATTGCCCACGGCAGACCGGTGTCTGGTGAAGTCGCAGGCCAAGTCCAATGTGACACGGGTGCTGATCAACATCGGTGCTGGTGATGGAGCCCAGGATGATTCTAGGCAAGGAAAAGGCACAGGGTGCGTCCCCAAATTCCGGCCCGAATGCACCCAACTGATTTCTCTAAGAAAAAACATGTTTTTGGGGAAAGTTTTTTAAAGATACATAGATCTCCACAACATGGACATCGTTTCAGATGGTCGTAACCGAAACCAGGATCCCTTGGGCCGCATCTTGCAAAGCTATGCAGGCCTGGCCTCAAAGTCGGAGCGGTACCCCGGGATGTTGCAATGTGGTTATACGCCAGAAGCAGCACCAGCATCTTCATCACTTTTCTGTTTTCTGCAGATCCCTTGTCACTCCCAACTTGAATGCATTCCGTGCGTGAATCTGGGCCCCCATTTGCTTCGAGTGAGATGAGTTCAGTGCACCTCTTATCTCCAACACCCCCTACTTCCCAATTTACCATGAATCTACCTGTGCCCTTGGTGAGGTTGGTCCTCTGGTGATCCAACCTGGAGGAAAGTCTACATCTGATTCGAAGATCTTCCCACTCCAAAATTCTATCAGGTATGACTTGGACTTTTGGATTTCCCATTTCCAAGCATAGAACCCCCTTCAAATTTCTATGGATTTCAGCTTCCAGTGCCCTCCCAGTCGTCACTTCCAGGCAGTGGAGGTCTCCCTCCATGGAAAGGTGTCTATTTCGAGGCCGTGCCCGAAAACTGCCGTGCCATACGGAGCACCTTGGACGCTGGGCTGCCATCGCTGGGATTTTAGAGAATTTGATTGGAATATCTATAGCGAATGTATTGAATGTATCTGGAGATAGTTGTAGATAACGAAATTATCCCAATGAAACAAGGCACTGTAACCCGTAGGCCCTGTATAACCATCAACTTTAAAACGAGTTGAATGCTTGCATTTTTTGTGGTTAATGAGCAGAACTTAGGCAGCTCAGCTGAATTTTCAGCCATGCAAATCTGGATAAATCTGGCTGAAACTTGTGATCGTTTGAAATCAGGCCCCTCAAGTCAGCTCCGAGTCTATACATCTGAAAAGCCTTTAGCATCATAAAATGATTTGATGAGTCCAAAAAGTGGTACCCTCCATCTCCATCCTCATAGTCATAAACCATTGGTTTACTGTATCTACAAACGGACTGCGCTTCTCAGGACGATGTGGGGGCGCAGATTGGCATTCGCTGCGGCTACAGCACCCCGAATACGGTGCTTCAAGGAATCTGTGAAGAGCTGCGGGATCAGGACCAGACTTTACCGTGGAGGATTCAACCAAAAATCACATGTCGTGACCGGCATGTTATAGCCATTTTCATCTGACCAGGAGGTTCCAGGCATCGCCACGAAGCTTGGTGATACGAGTGAGACGGGTAGGATGGAGAAATTTCACGGAGAAATGGTGCTATATCTTTATCGGATCAATACATATGTATGTATGTATATATATATATATATATACGTATATATTATATATATACATATTTATATAATATGATATCGAAGAATTTGTGGGTCATGGAATGATTGTCCCCGAGGGCCGTTTGATCATGTTTGATCCTTGCGTCATCACCTGATTCCTTCCTGTTTGCTCTTTGCAACCCTGAGCCCATTGGCATGATGCAAGTACTACATGAATCAGCTCCCACAAGGGGGCCCAACGCGATTTCTCTGCCCAGTTGTGGGACCAAGATATGGAGGACTATTTTTTTTTCGCGGCGGGTTTTGTTTTTTTTTGGGTTCCTGGTTCTATGCTTTTCTGCTTCTCTGATTTTCTGCTTCTCTGCTTTTCTGCTTCTCTGCTTTTCTGCTTCTCTGCTTTTCTGCTTCTCTGCTTTTCCTGCTTCTCTGCTTTTCTGCTTCTCTGTTTTCCCTGTTTCTCTGCTTTTGTACTTCTGTGCTTTTCTGCTTCTCTGCTTTTCTGCTTCTCTGCTTTTCTGCTTCTCTGCTTTTCTGCTTCTCTGATTTTCTGCTTCTCTGCAATCTGCTTCTCTGCTTTTCTGCTTCTCTGCTTTTCTGCTTCTCTGCTTTTCTGCTTCTCTGCTTTTCTGCTTCTCTGCTTTTCCTGCTTCTCTGCTTTTCTGCTTCTCTGTTTTCCCTGTTTCTCTGGTTTTCTGCTTCTCTGCTTTTCCTGCTTCTCTGCTTTTCCTGCTTCTCTGCTTTTCTGCTTCTCTGCTTTTCTGCTTCTCTGCTTTTCTGCTTCTCTGCTTTTCCTGCTTCTCTGCTTTTCTGCTTCTCTGTTTTCCCTGTTTCTCTGCTTTTGTACTTCTGTGCCTTTCTACTTCTACTATTCTACTTTTTCTTTTTCTTCAGTCATGTGTTTTTGCTGCTCTACTTCCTGCTCCTTTGCTTCTTTGCTTCCTGTCTTTATTCTCTCCTGTTTGTATCCTAAATGAAACCCTAGAGAGACCCTAGGTGAAACCCAAAGAAACCCTAAAGAAATCCTGATAAGACATTACATGAAACCCTAAATGAACCCTAAAGAAACCATAAATGAACCCTAAAGACACCATAAATGAACCCTAAAGAAACCATAAATGAACCCTAAAGAAACTTTAAATGACACCCTAAATGACATCCCAAAGAAACCCTAAACGACACTCTGAAAAAAAATAAATGAAACCTTAACTGAAACCCTGAATGAAACCCTAAATTGTCACCCTAGAGGAACCCTAAATGAAACCCAAACTGAAACCCTAAAGAAGCCCTAAATGAAACCCTAAATGAAACTCTAAATGGAACCCTAAACGAAACCCTAAAGAAACCCTAAAGACACCCTAAATGAAACCCTAAAGCTTCCCTAAAGAAACCCATTTGAACATTAAGAAATCCTGATAAGAAATCCCGATAAGAAACCCTACATGAAACCGGAAAGACACCTTAAATGAAACTCTAAAGAAACCCTAAATCTAAAGAAACCCTAAATGAAATCCTAAAGAAACTCTAAATGAAACCTTCAATGACACCCTAAGCCTAAAGAACCCTCAAGAGACCCACATGAACGTTTGAAGTACCAAAATGTAGGAAATACCATGCAAAATGACGGGTTCTAGTTCCAAACTGTTGCAAATACAAGGCAAATGGTACCAGGAAAGAAAGCCAAACAAAAATCCAAAACTATCCAAAACTATTCTACACCCCCCAAAAATTGTGAAGATTCCCAATGTTTGCTCATTGAAGCCATTGTTCTTGGCTCTCCCATTCTTGTTGCTTCCAATCCCCATAGGATTTGCCATGTGGCTGCGGTGCTGGGTATTGAAGCGCCTCGGCGGATCCAATGGGAATGGTGGGAATTGAATTCCAAGAGCCTCACTGGATGTTTCAGGTTAGTAAGAGTAACTATCCCCAAATGCTGCTGTTTCAGGATGTTTCAGGTTCGTGATAGTTTTCTTCCAGAGATGATGTTTTGATCTGTTTTGATGTTACAGAAAGAATAGCGAACTGTTCGGTTATCCAGCCAATTTCACCAGCTTTCCATGGTATTATCCTCTACTTGCCCTGCGACCGTGTGCAGGCGACCAACGATGAACTCCAGGAAGACCTGCGTGTTGAAGTGGATGCAATGAGCAGCTTCGGCTGGATATGGGAGGATGATGGTCAAATCTCTGGAGCTGTGCAGTTGGTAAAGACGCACTGCCGTTTTTTTTACAAATGATTCATAGAAAGACACCAGAACAAGCCTATATATATGTATATATATACATCTCTGGTAAACTAACATAACAATGGAAAATCACAATTTTTGATGGGAAAATCAACTATAAATGGGTCATTTTCAATAGCTGTATACCTCACTGAGAGATCCAACCATATGTGGCTCAAAACAAAAGCCACCAAGAATGGGTGGGTGAATATGAATTCCAAGATACACAAGTTGCGCAGTCAAAGGCCTTAGTGGCTCGTTCCCAAAAAGTTTTGTGACTACTGGAAGTCATCCTCACTCAAGGCTGGCTTGCCACCACAAACTCATTTTTGGTCGAAGCGCCACTGCTGTTTATATATATATATTATAATATAAGAAATGTAGAGGTACCTACACCTCTGTTTTTAATGCCTTCTGTGACACCTACAGAAGCATATGACTCAGACGTGTGTGAGTCATATTTTGCTATACATATGGAACGAACTGTTGTGATTGTGGATTTCTTCATTGAATGTCTACACCACAAGCTTGAAGCTCACCGCTCACTACAGGCCTTTCCGAAAAGCATCGCAGCGATGTTTGAGTGCCCCAAATATCATCAAATATCCCAATTCTGCTTGAGTCCCAAGATTTGTCAATATACTTACAGTATATTCTCCACATTTCCCAATGAGAAATGAGAGGAAAGCATAGGAAAGCTCCCATGCCCCAGATGTGGACATCGATTCCTATGACTGCGCTGCGCTGCGCGAAGCCCTACGGGTGGTGAGTCCCAAGATGCTCAGCGCGGCTCGGGCTCGGTTGAAACTGGAAAAAGATGTGGAAAACCATGGTTTCTTCGGAAAATGATCTACCCTCTGGTAATTTAACATAGCTATTGAAAATGACCCATTTATAGTTGATTTTCCCATTAAAAATGGTGATTTTCCATAGCTATGTTAAATTACCAGAGGGTAAAAATGTTGGGTTTTCATGGGTTTTCCACTAGTTTTGCTAGTTTTACATCGTTTTTACCAGAGGGTAATTAGGGGATGGCCCAAAGGTGGGATGTTCACCCCCAAAATGGTGATGGATTTACATGATTTTCCTTGGCCACCCATGAAGTGCATCAGTGGAGACCTGGCTAAAATCACCGCGCCATGGAGCAGAAAGGATGCTTAGGCCTTGGCTAAGGCGTAAGACTACCAGGCGATTCCTGGGTAATTGGAATCTGTATACCAACCCTGCTTCGCGGACAGGACGAATCCGCAAGAGCTTCTTCTTTTCGTTTTCGTGTTTGTCTCCCTTTTCTTGTTGGGATCTTGGCGTTTCAACCGCAGTTTTTCTGACGAGGTGGAAATCTGGCCATATCCTCCACCGATTGTGGTCTCAGTGGATTTCCATCCACAACATCAAGAGACCCAAAAGACCAACGTCTCGGGATATGGCGCCATCTCAGGAGCTGGGGGGAATGCGGAAGCAAAAAAAATCAGAACATCAGAGGAGGGGCAACAGGTAAGCAGGAATTTTCAATGCTTGAAGATGTCATTTCATATGATTATGATGGATAAACCCATCAATAATCCCATTATTAACCATTATTAATTATAATTTATTATTATTCACCATTATTAAACACTATTGATGTCATTATTTACCATTATTCCCCATTATTATTCACCATTATTCACCATTGATTTCAATGATGTTGCGAGTCTTCGACAAATCTTCAGCAATGCCTGAGCAAGTCGGGGCCGTCAGGAACGACTACTCGTGAGGGTGGCTTCGTGACAGGTGCCATGTTTACCAGTGAAGATTCGAGGAAGCACTGGGGGTTTTTAACCACCAAAAATATCCAAAATATCCAGGGGATATGACCGATAAGACCTAGAAAGGATGGTAGATTCCGTGGCAGATTCAGTGATGGGTTTTGCCATGTTTTGCCGCCGTGGGATATGAACTCTCTCAGTCATCCCCTGAAGCCACCTCTCCGTGCCAGAACATCCAACATCAGTTGGATCCGATCATTCATCCAAGCCTCCAAAATCACTTCCAAAGCCAACTGGATGATCATCCAATATCCGACATATTTGGATGATCTCAGGGTTATCCCCATCCCCATCCCATGCCCATCCCATGCCCATCCCATCCCCCAGCCCCTCCCCAGGCTGTTCGTTAAGCGCTGCCGTGGCCTTGCTGTGGCCGCACGGCCGGGTTTGTATCGCCTCAGCGCGCGCGACGCGCTCTTCGTGCGCGGCGACGTGGCGCAGCAGATCGGCCTGGAGGGGCCCAAGAAGCCCTGGGCGCCGGCGGATGAGTTTCAGCACCTTGGAAAAAAAACGTGGTTTTTATGGGTTGATGTTGGTTGATGTTGGTTGATGGGAAGATGATGGAAGATGATTTTTAGACATTTTTAGATGGGAAGATTGTATTTACATGTATTTACCATCATCCACATATGATTTTGGGACTTTTCAATGTTCGATGACCGGAGGGCAATGGTGAATGGTGGATGATCGTGCAGAACGGCGGAGATTCGGACCTTTAAAAGGCTCGGAATAGTGAAGACAAAGCAGGGACCCGGAGGCATACAGAGATCCCCCGGGTTTGTCCAGAAATGGTGGAACACAAAAACGTCTAAGTCATGGCATTTTGGTGCCCCCACAAACCCAACTACCCAGGTGTTGGAGGAAGCTCTGTGCAGATTTGAATGTCAAAGAGAATCTGATGAAGCTCACGTCTCTAGGAGCTCTGTGGGAAGCACATGGCTGGATGTAAGTCAAAATTATGGAGCATCGAGGCCCTAAAATTGCTGGGTCTATTGGCACACCATTTTTGACCTATACCCATTTGATGAGATGTTTATTTTGGGAGGCCTTTCTCCCGGTGCAGAGCATCCGGTCGATCAGAGCACACAGGAGTCTATGACCACTTGATGCCCTTTGTGCATCGACACATCCGCGATGGAATTCTGAATGGTTCCTATCCCTTGCATCCTCTGACTGTGGCAGTAGCCATGCCACCCCCAAGGACAACTCGCTATTTGCCCCAAGTGAAATTGTTCACGGGAAAAAGAGTTCCATCCGCGCTGGGATGGGATCAGAGTCTTTTGAAGCTGAGTTATCAGCCTAGCACTGGAACGACTGGGATCCCTCACCATGATTGAATTTATTGAATTGACCAATATGTTTCAGTGTTTCAGTCTTTCATCATGATTGTGATCATGATTTTGAACATCTCATTTTCACGCCTATGTTTTCATCTTTCCATACTGATCATAGCCGTCAAAGCATCACCAACTTCTGGCGCCCTGTCGGCCCTGTCGCAGGTGAGCGGCTGAATGATGGGACCCTGTCTTCTGGGGAACAACAGCTCACAGTGCTGGTGGATGTGGGCAAACCAAGCTGGGAAGATGAGGATGCCAGGATGCTTCAAAATGATCTACAGTAACCCATAGTAGGGATAGCCTTACCCATCAGCCATAGAACCCCAAAGCATTTTCAAGTTTGTAAAGCCAGCATCTCATTCATCACAAAACCATGGGGGCTTCCCTGCACTTTTCCATTTCCAATCAATTTTGGGTCAGTTCTATGTTTTCAACAAGCCCCCAAACGATCATCATTCAGAGATGCTTGACAAAATGATGTGGCATATCATATTTTTGGGGATACATATGACATATGGCTGGAAGATGGGCAAGGTGTCAAGCTTTCCATGGGCCCATGCTGCGTCCAATTCGGTGGAAGCCATGGGTGATAGGCAACAAGAAATTCCTTGCAGGGAGAAATGAACGTCAGAGAAGAGTTGAGCTCCAAATTCCACAGAGTTTTTGAAACACTGGTGCTCCTTGAAGGGTGGTTGAAGCGGTACAGTCTCACGACTGTTTCCGAATGTGACACACGCACTGAATATTTGTCAGTTTGTGTCATCGCCATCCGATTTTTGGAGTCCGCTATTGCTTTCCTAATAAACTACGCCACGCAGATGTGCGTCTGCATTTTGGGAAAACCCAACTATGGGACAGGGACAGTCATCGACAGTGGATTCTGTTCGTTTTTGGGTTGTGAAAGGTGGCGTAAAATGACAAATTTTGCCAGTTGGTTGTCAGAACTTTCTATCCCAAGTAGTTTGCCCTTGGCGCCATTTCCTGAGGTCCAAGTAGGGGACATCTTGTGCCTTGGCACCAAAGAAGGAAGGAACACCTGAATTTGTGAGGACTTGCCATTTGTATGCGCAAGAGTCGCAAGAGCATCAAGAAGATATGTTTTTCCCATATGTACATATGTACAATGATATCCAACTATCCATCTATCCAACTATCCATCCACCCATCCATGGCCATCAAAACCAGCCAAATGAAAGCCGCGCATGGTTTGCTGGAACTTTCCCCCATTGAGTTCCATATGATTTTCCCATTTTTGGACCTCCATTTGGTTCAAGAGTTCCCAGTTTCGGTGTTCCCCATCTATTTGCATCTATTGTATCCATAGAAAAGTCGGGTCACCATGAAAACTCTGAGGGCCTTCTCACTTCTGGAGGGCCGCTCGACTGCGAGACATGAGACTAGAGCTCTGGAACCGATCTACCCATCCACAAGTGGATTCTGAAAGGGATGGTTCCAATGATTTAAATGGTTATTGGATTAATGATTTAGTCATTTGATTAGCAATGAATTTTCACGGGTTCTTGATGACTCACTGTTTCTTTCACAGGGGAATCGGGAAAACATGGATAAACAACCTATAGATGCTAAATGAATGCAACCCCCATAGATAAGTCGGAGACTTGGAAATGATGCGGCAAACCACGTCATCGAAGCATCCTGGAAGTACCCCTTTCCATTTTAAAAAGGGAGCCCCTTTCACCCGTAAAAGAATGGATTTTTAATCTCTGGGGTTAATCAAAAAAAATGAGGATGATCAACTTGAAAAGAAGCATCAACATTGGGGATCAAACCAATCATTTTATGGGGGTATGGTGGGATATAATGGGGATGCAGCTGGATATATGGAGCCAATGGTGGATGCCCATCAAAAGTACCTAAAAATGGTGAAATGCGAATGGAACCTATAACCAGAAATCGGACTAACATAAGTTTCCATTACACAAATCCATAAATTTCCATACTAATCCCATGTAATGGAAACTGTGACCATGGGATTTTGAAGTTGTTCCAGAAGAATCATTCGCAACGCCGATGATCAGGATGCTTTCAGGATCAGGATGCAGTGCAGTCCAAGATCACCTAACATTTGCCTTTGTCAACCAAAAACGAGTAGTAGACTAGCCATAAATTGGAGTTGACTTCCGCATTTCCGACATACCTGGGCTGTTCTCATGTTTTTGTTTTGGATTCATCCCCCATGATTGATGTTTGTTCAGTGTCAAAATGTGCCACACATCCTTTTTATTGCATGTTCATGTATAGACTCATAGATAAATATACGTGTATATATATATATATAGATATACACACTGTGTATATATATATACATAGACTATATATATATATACACATCATCCAGATATCTTGACTTCTTGTGGCGGCATCAGTTTTCTGTAGCAGGCTCTGAGTCGAGCCCCGCGAATGTAGCTTGGGCCTGGGGTCCCCAGGGTCTCTCTGTCGTGGGTGGACCGGTGGTAGCCATGAAGACTTTCACATCCTGAGGGATAAACCTGAATGGATGAGTGGCACTGAGTGGAAAATGGTTTCACCCAATACATGGCCATGAACATGTAGGGAACATCAACAAATATTTTCACAACAGGACTTTCTCTTTTTCATTCTTTTTCCTCATTTGTTATCATGTGCCATATACCCATTATATAGTATATATATGTATATATATAGAATATATATACACACTATTGTTGGTTTTATAGGGGTATCGCCTGAAGGATAAACCCATAGACACAGCCAGGAGCTTTCCGAGCCGGACGGTGTTGTCATCTACTCCGCGGAGGTTTCCCTGCAGCAACGGTGGTGGGTTCTTCGTGTAACCTGTGGCAGATAGCCTGGCGGCCTGTGCGTTGGTGGGCAAACAAACTCATAATTTTTGAAGGCATGCAGCAAGAGCTGAATAACCTTACCATCTGCTGGTAATCAATACATCCATATAGGAGTAGCATGTCACCGAAAAAGGGGTTACGATTGGGTTTACCATAGAAGATTTTGCTTGGCGCCTCCACTGGCTGCGAGCCGGACCAAACCCACCAGGTTGTTTGATGGTTTTCGGATGCACCCTTTCCTTTCAGGTTCTACATAGATGGTTGCAGATGTCTATTAAATATATATATATATTAAAACTTCCCGAATTGGGATCCCCAAAAAAAGACACCCCAATGGGGGATGGTTTATCGCACCTGCCAAGTACGCCTCGATCGCTGGCGTGAAGTTTCCTTTGCTGGAGAACTTTGTGGTTGCAGGCCCTGGAGTGATAGGATAGGATACATCCTGGGTTCAGTGGTTCAGTGGCTGATCTTGATGTGGCAAACTCCATCATATCGGAATAACCCACCTCCCCATATTATCAATGGCCATGCAACAGGAACCTAAATTGGAGGTACCTACCATATATAAGGCCTATATAAGGCCTATGTAATGGAATATCCCCACAAAATATGGCCTTCTATGGTACTAACGTGCCTCCATCAATTGGATCCTGAGTCATTCCCATTGATCACAGTTTTTCTGGTATACTAGCCCATGAAATACCATTATCTTATACCTATTGTACCATTATTAATCATCATTATCTTATATCCTACTATGATAGTTACTGGTTGGCAAACATCATCCCCAGTCATGGTAGGTTAGAAAGGCGATGGTTTTAATCATCCTCGTGGCACCAGGCCCGGCAGCTTGCATTCAAAACCAGGCCCGGACAGCCTGTTTTCATGTTGGGATGGGATTACAATGAACTGCATGGAATGTCAACCTATGTGATTTTGACACAAAGTACAAAAATAATTCAAAATATACAAAGTCCACTGGTTGGTTGATTCATAGAGGCTTTCCCCCATTCAATAACCTTTTTATTGGTAGATGATAATCAAACAAATTTCCGATATATATATATATATGCATATGATATGATATGGTCTATCATTTTTCCGTTCTTTCCAGTTCATGACAACCACTAGGTTCCCAGTTCCCAGCCTCGCAACATTTGTCTCCGATTTACCCAGCTGTGAGGCTTCCGATCTTGAACTCTATTCCTCGGACATCGACTTCTCGAGCCTCTACCCTAAGCATCTCGGCATTTTACTTCGGTCAGGAAATCTTCGGTACCAGGAGCCACAAAAAAATGGCATAAGGATTGGCAGCGATTAGCATTCAACACTATGAAATTACTATTAAACCATCCATGTTGGGTGTAACATGTTGACCCAACGACCCAACGTGGCCTTGGATGGTTTGGATTCTTTGAACGGCGAGCCGTTCAAAAATGCTGAATGCCACGATGCATTTTTTGGTGTCAATTTGCCCCATACTGTAGTCCTAAGGGGTAAACATGGTCCATTTCTTCAAATGGTGTTCGTGGCCTCAGAATGCGGGATTTTCGGCCAAGGGAACAGATTCCGAGTTCCCTTCGCCCAATGAATTGATCTGTGTCCTGAGGCGAATGTTTACTGATGACACCTACATCTACTTTGCGGCTCATCGATGGGTCTTGGGATATCTTGGGATATCTTGGAATGGGCGGCCATAGTTTCACCTCACCTGATGTTACGATGTTTGAGCCTAAGATGGTTCAACGGTTCAACGGTTCAACGTGGGTGCTATGAAATTTGCCGCCAAGAGAATCCCCGAGCCGAGCCGAGCTGAGTACCTATTCGTCGCGTTTATTGGAAGACCATCCCCCATTTTTGGAACATCGTCGCCGGGAGATGCAGCTCTTGCTCCAATCGACAAGTCGGCCAGGGTTGAAGCCACCAAGCGTTTTTGTTTGTTTTGTATGGTCATATATTCATAATACATGTGTATATATATATATATACATATCTTTATATATGTGTGTATATATATATATACACACACGCACACGATTGGAATACACTGCACATCTTGAAGCACATGGCATCCTGGCTGCCCCAAGGTGCCCCCCTCCAGCAAGTTCTTCCGTGTGGATGTGGCAACGATGACACAGGCGATGCGTTGGATCATTCCTGTAGTCAACTCATGGGAGATTTATGGGGAAAACCCATGGGAAAATCATGGGAAATTCCTGGGAAGATCATTGGGATATGACGGGATATACCCTCCAATGTCTAGTGGAAAGCAGTCTTCCCAAGCCCGACTCATGGCAGGGTCTATGTTAAATTTGATTTGGGGAGGGTGCTGTAGTTGCTTTGAGGAGTCCCCAAATCTTGGCCCTCCATACTCATACATTACGAATATTGAGGAATGTGGGACGTACCATGTCTTCTGGAGCTTGCCACCTCGCCATTTTGACCGAGTACCGATGATGTGTTTTCCTTTCTTTTGAAGAGTACAAGTACCACCAAGAGTCCTCCGAAATTGGTAAGTGCCGCAATCAGGCTGGGCAATCCAGTTGAACATAAACACTTCGAATCTCGAACGGCTGGAACCCAACATCCAATACCTCATTCATCTCATTCAGAAGCTGTTCATTTCGTCCCCAATTTCGGGCACATCTTCGTCCTCTTTTTATGTGAATGAAACGCGTTCCCAGCTGTTCCTCGGAGGTGGAAAGCGTGACGGTGACGGGTTCGGACTACCAATTTGGCTTCAGTGATGGCACGTGGGCGGCTTAGGACCCCCAGTTCTTCGATGAAATTCAGCACCAGGTAAACCTTATGTGCTTCGTGGTTCTAAGCTCTAAGCCTGTTTTCTTCAGGCGTATTACCAGGCGTATTTGGGGCAAGATTCTCTAGCTCTCCATCTCAGCGCGGCATCCTGATATTTCCAGGAAAACATCACCCAAACCAGGATGAACTTTGTCGGATGACACCAGCCCATCACTGAGCCAATTCAGTGACGCAACGACGCAACGCGCCACAGGTACGGCTATTTGGTGCCCGGCCCCTCCACTGAATTTGGCGACTTGGGGGGCCATTCGAGAGCTTGAGAAGCTGCGATCAGATGACTTGTGAAGATCCGGGTTCAATACTGAAATGGGTCTCAAACGGTCTTAAAGCAGCTTCTTTTCGAACTTTGATCATTCATCATTCTCTGTCTTTGAAGTGGCCATTTAAAGGTATCCCCGACTTTTATCCATGACCCATTTTTGAACATGGGGAGCACCCCGCAGTTCCCCAACTGACATGGACCCTTTCCACCAGGCTCAATGGGCAGCATCTTGGAACGCGTCGAACTCGGGAACTTTGATAGCACCATGGCTGCCGGGGCAATGGTCGCCATGCGCAGATGCGAATGGGAATCAAATTCGGAATCGAATGGAATCGAAAAACAGAGTTCCGAGGGCCTCGAAATCGTAGATCTCTAGTCGAAGGAAAATCGAATCGCTTCGTTTCTGTGAGAATCCAAGCGCAGTCCAACGTATTGACGTCCTCCAAAGGTTTGGTTGAAATATGTTTGAAGCAACTCCTAAGCTGGCAATGGACAAGTCCCATAGAAATATCCAGATGTGGATAACACGGATAAAACTGATGATTGTTTCTACATGTTTCTACCGTCCATGGATAATAAAACATTCAGATATAACTATAATGTGGCATAACAATTATATCAGTCCCATAGAAATAACATTTCCAATTTTGTGGGAATTTTCCAGGTGAAATCTCCGGTCAGGCATGAGTCTGAGCTCGATTTCCGCGTCGTATATCGGTTACACCGATGCCGTGCTGTGGCGCTCGACGTACACTTACGCGTGCTTCGGCGGAAGTTGGACCAGTTGGACCTCGACGAATTCTGAAGCCACAACCAACTTGTACATCGTATCTACATGTCATTTATAATGTACAGTATATATATATATCATATATACATATATACATATATCAGTATATATTTATTATGATAATGATATTTTTTTATGCATAAGATATGATCCAATATTAGATAATAGATGATAATAGAATACTTATACTAGCAACATTTAGTAAGTAGTCTTAGTATGTCTTAGTACTATAAGAGGATATGCAGTGAATATAGTTACTTCATATAAATTTCTATACCATTATGTACCAATATTTGTCTAATTCCCCACATCTTTGTGTGGGGTTCTTGTTTTTGGTTGTGCACTTCCGCCTCCGCCTTCCGCCTCCTTCCGCCTCCTTCCGCCTCCTTCCGCCCGCCGCCCGCCCAACTTGTCACCACACAACTTACTCACACACAACTTGTTCACACACAACTTGTCCACACACAACTTGTCCACACACAACTTACTAACACACACAACTTGTCACCACTTACTCACACACAACTTGTCACCACACGGCTGTTGGCGTGGCAGGCGTGGCACTTGGCGACATGGATCGTCACTTTGCGTGGCAGGCGTGGCACTTATGGCACTGGGCTGGCTCTGGTGGTGCGCTTGGGTCCCAGTTGACGCCGTGGACGCTGCGGCTCTTTGCGTGGCAGGCGTGGCACTTGGTGACATGGACTTGCACTTTGCGTGGCAGGCGTGGCACTTATGGCACTGGGCTGGCTCTGGTGGCACGGCTGTTGAACATGTTTCGATATGTCTGCTGAAGCTGCCATTGATTTTGATTGCCGCGCCGGAAACTTGCATGTGCTCTTCTGGAGATGTGCACAGGTATGGAAAATGTTCTCGAGCGGCACGTCTGTTCTTTCTGCTGCGGCAGTTCATACACATACGCACGCACACATACACATGCACACATAGCGCATGACCACATAGCACATGCATTTAGGTGGCCACGCAACGCACACATACACACATGCACACACACATACGCACGGATTTTCACGCACGATTCTATCACACACACACATACACACCACTTTTACGCACTACTGTACGTATACATTCCTTTCACGCACCTCCCTTCGACATACATTTTGTTGGAGACGCCGATCCTTCACCATCTCTTTTCTCTTTCCTGCATTTCCCATCCCATCTTTACCTTTCTTTTGCTGCTTATTGGAAGAAATTGACATGTGGGGTTATCCGGTCCTTTAATTATAGTGAATTTTTAATCATCAAAAAGAGCGCCGGGAGCTGGCACTGGCCGCATTGCCATAAAAATGAGATGTGCCGTTTCCGGTTGTTTCCGGCTGTTTACCGCTGTTCAATCCTCCAAACTGTCCGTGAAAATGCGGGTGACAACACACTAATCCCGGCCGGACATGTCTTAGTTTGCATTTCTTTAGCGTCCAGATAGACCATGATATGATAGATGAAACCAAGTCTACCATGGGAGTCTACCACTGTGTTGGTCACCCATCCCAGAGTTGGGATATGTGATTCAATCTTTTGAATACAAAATACATACCCTGCAAAAAATGCAACATTTATTGCCACTGTCTTTATGGGAAAAACGAAAATCCAACAAATTGCCACTTTCATCAAGGCAAAAACTGCTCCTTCCCTTGACTTGGATCCAAGGGAGGTCTGTTTTTGGAGCTCTAGTTGGATACAGACTTTGGAATCCTCGATTGCTCTCCATTCTATTCCAACATCCAAATGCGGTGGTGTGTCACAGCTGAATTTTTAAGTGCGTAATGCGTACAAGTTGCGAAGTCATGGCTTCAAGATTGAGAATGCGTCAAAATGCCCCAGCCGACCCGAGATTTTGGTCAGCCGCACAGGCCGTACCATATCCTTTTTTTGCCCATGCGGCTTGAAATTTGACGTAAATATTCCGGATACATCACCATTATTCCTGATTTATAAGGATTTTATACCTAAGAGAAATTACATGGACAAAGATTTTTCGCATCCGCATGTGATCTAGTCGTTTCCACTTTCGTCTCTCCCCTCAGCTTGAAGACTCCAAGAAGTGTTGGTCACGTGTTTGAAGCAACTGCCGGCACGCCTTAGTTCATTTTTATTTACCCTTTATTTACCCAGTTTTCATAGGATTTCTATGGCTTTTTTGTTGGATACAACAGGCCATGACCCATCATGACCCAGTTTGAGCCACCTGTGTGGCGTTGATCGCTATAAGGTTCCTGGCCCCAAGGACGGGCAGGTTGACACTGATCGATTTGGAATCTTGGTGCCTTATAACGTGACAAAAATAGGAACGATCGCTAATGTGACGGTATGGGAGAGAAGCATGAAGAGATGAGCAGACAGATGAAAAGATGAACAGACTTTCATTTTGAATTGAATCTGATTCGGTTGAGAGACTATTCAGGTGGGAGAAGGCAAGTAGAGTCAAGGATTTTGGATTCTGGATGCCCAAGTCATGGCTGAAAGAATATGTGGATGGCACTATTAATCACTAGCAACCCTAATGGTTCAAGAATGTTTATTCATGTTTAATACATCATTACCCTGGGGTTTACCTTTAGATGTGGACAACCGGAAAAATCTGTTTCGAAAATGATCATAATGATCCAGATTCATGGTGGGTTTTCTACATCTCCCTGTGGGTCCAAGTCCTCGCTAAAACTAGGCCCTAGGCATTTGCTAAAGGCCTGGTTAAACCAGACCTTTAGGACTGAGATTTTCTCTATGCCATTACTTTTGGGGACGTATTCTTGTGAGACTGAGCCAAGCAAGGTCGCACCCCCAAAGATGTCCCATGTTTGAAAAAACGATAGCGTACCTTCCAGATTTGCGAAAAAAATGAAACCGTGAAAAGGCCATGAAAAACCAGTGAAAACCCCGTGAAGAGGCAATGAAAAACACGCAAAATCATGTTTGTGATGGTTTGTGCGAAAAGGAGAAGAAACAGGTTTTTGCAACCACATTTTCTCATGAGAGCTTTTGCTGTATGTGGCTGCTGCTGGTCTTATGGTACAGAAATTTTGAATCTGTTCACGGTATGAGTTGTTTGAGGCCTTTAGTCATTTAGGCCCTTTACTCAAACAGCCTCCTAAGCCTGTCCTTTGGACTGACTGAGTCTATTCGTTTGACCCTCGCGGTGTCCTAATTTCTATCTGCACCAAGGATAACTTCATGGTACACAGACTCTTGGCCCGTGTGATTTTGCAGATTCTCTTGGGGAAAATAATGGAAAATGATGGAACGTGTGGAATCATGACTTAATCCATCATTTTCATCATGACTTTTTCTGGGGCTGATGGGGACTTCATATTTCATCCCAGCCCATCAGAAGATGGCCAGGTGGCACTCGTTGTTTTCTCCGTCAGGTTGATGTTGTGTTTTCCCGGACATGAATTCATCACCACCCCGGAAGATACTGAAGAATCTGGAGGGTTGTGGGTTTCAACCACAAGCATTTCCTTTTTTGGGGATATGTTTTCTAGTACTCCCCAATGGCAAATGGTTTGGGAAATGGGTTACAATTTATTATGCTATAATTAGTGGTTCATCACATGTCCAACTCCGGGGTTAATAATGCATCGGCGTGTCCACCCCGCGCTCAAGGTCATCTTTTTGCTTAACGGTTGGGATCGGCCCAACCGTTGGTTCTGACTTGTGCCTTGTGTATCCCAACGTGTAATGAGAGAGTTTCGATTTGTTCATGGAGGTGTAAGCAAGTTGCCCTCACTGGCAATATGTTGGCGGGTGGTTCAAACCAGTCCAAGATCTTCTATCATTCCTTGTCACCAGCCAATCTTTCACCATCCTTTAGAGAATCGTTGTTGGTTTCAGATGGTGTCAGGTTACTAAACCTCCCCACCTTTGTTGACCATATGGACACTGGCGCTGAATTCAACCGCTAGCTGTGTTGCCATTGAATCAGGAGACGTGGACGAAACTTGGTTGCACTTGGAATGAAATCGCAGGATGTCAGAAGTGCAACCAAGTTTGGGGATGTTTTACGACACGGAACCGGAACATGCGGTAGGGAGGTGATTTTTCTTTTCGGAAAGGGCATGACAGGGCTATGATTTTCGGGTTCAATGCGATGGTCAGCTGCTCTAGTGGGTGGCTTGTCTCTCAGCATATGAGGTGATACTGGCTGAATTCCGGACTACTGGGAACATGTAACATCATGTAACCTATTGGGATAATCAGTAGCATAAAAACCAGTGATTTTCCAGAACACCAGGTTAAATTGCTGGAGGGTATGTGGGATTCCAGCGAATCTTGGACCCTTGACATACGATCATCCGTCGTCAGGTAATGTTTCAATTCTTATGCAAAGAAAGAGCTATCACCTTCAGAGAATATGCAGCAATACGACATTGATATCACATATATATATAATAATATATATATATATGATTATATATAATATAATATATATATATATAATCATATATATATATTATCCAATATTTGCTGGTTATTCCTGGTTAATGTTCCTTGGTTTGTCCAAAAGGACTAGTTCTGTCGACTTTGGCCGAGGACACTTTCACGTTTTATCACTCCAGTAGTGCCTTTGATGATGGAACATATTGCTCCTTGGCGGGATCTGGGAATGGAACATCCACAAACCAAGGTATTGGTCCATAGCAGAAATCATGGTGGATTTCGAGCGATTTTTCACACTGACAGGTGGAAGTTTTTTTGGTCTTCGATTTTCTTGTGATTCATTAGGTTCATTAAGTATAGACATGAGAAAAACCCTCAAGGCATACCCAGCATGAACAAAGTGGACATTTTTATCAGCGGTTGCTGGTGCCAGCCTTTATCAGCTATGCCCGTGCATGTCAGTGGCCTTTTGGGTCAAGTCGCTGCGTCTTCCACTGGGTAAGATAAGTTGCCATGCGACTGGCATGACGCCGTGATGTTTTTTCTTGGATGGCATAAAACATCAAGCAATTCAAGCAATACAAAAAAAATGGGAGTATAGCACCTCATGAGAGTATAGCACCTCATGAGAGAATGCCACGGTTGTGGCTCAAAATTATTGAGCCTGGGCATGGGGCATGGTTAAACACCAAACATGAATAGAAATGACACGTTTTTTTTTGTGGGCTCATGGGGATCCATTTCTGAGACATACCGTGACATAGCCATAGTTTTTTTGGGCATCCTATTTGGGCTTTCCAAGTTCTCACGCCCAGGCTATTTGGTTCCGTACCAGGACCTCTCGTCGGTGTTGAAAAATCGGTTCAACCAGTAGCCAGTGAACCACTCTGGTGGCCAACAGGATCACGAAATCAACCATGAAGTAGCAGCATAGGTCGATCCTGTTGCAGATCATACAAGCAGTTTGATTGGCAAGCGTGAGTCGGGATTTCCAGACTTGTGGTTAAAAACCAAGGACTCTTCAGTGGTTCCTGTTTGACATCGCCTAGGACCTAGGATTGATCACACCACGGCAGGACTCCGGATCAACCGCTTCAGGGAAATTGGTGCGATTTGACATGGCGCAATTCGAGGCCTACACAGAGACCTTTGAGCCACTGCTGCGCTAAGGTGTCACGCGTGCTGGTAAGGCAAGTCCAATGGAGGATGGGAGGATCTCACCAGACTGATATGGATTGGGGATACATTTGGGGTGAGACTTACTGTAGAAACGTCGTTTTTCATCAACGGTTGATTTAAGTGACGTAGTTCAGTGATCCCCAAATCCAGTGGTTTCTCAATGTTTCTCACTTTATCACAGTCCCAAATGGAAACATATTGGGTGCGCGTTGTTGCCCCATTTTCAGACAATGACTCTTAAATTTCTGGTAGACTCCCATCGAATCCACCATCATGAGTGACAAAAATATATGAAAAACATTTGAGCACCCATTACAGTAGAAAGGCACACCTTTTTACCATTAATATATTAATATCATTAATATCCAATAATGATGTACATATCCCCAGGTGGCTTTCTGATTAACGCCAAGGAGACCTTAGACTTGACGGCGCAGAGCAACAGCAACGCAGCCAACTGGGTGCAGTTCTCATACGGCGTAGAGGTGCCCTATTGGCAAGACATCTGGGATGGCTGAGTCACTGAGGGGAAAGGATTCGTCGATTCGTCCGTTTCCGCGATAGGATGGCACCTATGGCTACCTGGTGAAGGAAACTGGTGGCATTCTGCTTCGCTTCAGGTGTGCTGAATCGGACTGTGGAGTGTGTGTTGATCAGGTGGCAGCTGACACATTCAAGAACGATTGAACTCACTGCGGTTTCCCACATGTTTTTATCAAAAGATCAATATGACGGTCTCAAAGATGGAAATTGAGGGATTATGATGGGACAGTTTCGGTGGAAGCTTTGATTAAATTTGCTCACACACAAAGATAACAGGGCGGACTGCAGTCACATGATGTCACATTGCGATGGAAATTCCTGTTTCGATCGACTCAGTGTGTCAGGTGAGTCAGGTTGTTTGGAAGGTCTTTTGGGCCCCTGGGTATCAGTTTTTCAGCCTGTTTTTTTTTCAGTCCGTTTTTCCAAACGCATCGACCCCTGCGCAGTTTGGCGACCTTCTCCAATGTTGAAGAGTTCTCAGTGAGTCTCACTGGGACGACTGCGAGGGCTTTGATGGTGGGATGGCCCAAGCTGCAGATGGGAAAGCAAAGATTGAACAGCTGGAGGTTGCCAGCCTTTTTCGAGAGAATAATAATAATGATTAATAATTCCCCACCTGCCAGGTGAGGGTTGTTAGATTTTATGTCAGTTGCCTCCTCCTCCTCCTGCTCCTCCTCCTCCGCCTCCTCCTGCCTCGTCCTCCTCTCCTCCTCCTCCTCGTCCTCCTTGTCATCCTTGTCGTCCTTGTCGTCCTCGTCGTCCTCGTCGTCCTCGTCGTCCTTGCTCAACTGTGACCCGCGATCCACAGTGTTCTCTGCCGGACCTCAACCACGACCACCCACGCCCAGTGTTCCCTGCCGGACCTCAACCACGACCATCCACGCCCAGTGTTCCCTGCCGGACCTCAACCACGACCATCCGCGCCCAGTGTTCCCTGCCGGACCTCAACCACGACCATCCACGCCCAGTGTTCTTTGCCGGACCTCAACCACGACCATCCACGCCCAGTGTTCCCTGCCGGACCTCAACCGCGAGTATCCATGCCAAGTGTTCCCTGCCGGACCTCATGTAGGAAGATATGGGACAAAGAATGTGCAGAAGAAAGTTAGAAAGAATGTCAGAAAGAATGTCAGAAGATATGCCAGAAGATATGCCAGATAGAATGCCAAATAGAATGCCAGATAGAATGCCAGAAAATATGTCAGAATATATGCCAGAAGATATGCCAGATAGAATGCCAGAAGATATGCCAGATAGAATGCCAGAAGATTTGCCAGATAGAATGCCAGAAGATATGCCAGATAGAATGCCAGAAGATATGCCAGATAGAATGCCAGAAGATTTGCCAGATAGAATGCCAGAAGATAGAATGCCAGAAAATATGCCAGAAGATATGCCAGATAGATATGCCAGAAGAAATGCCAGAAGATATGCCAGATAGAATGCCAGAAGATATGTCAGAATATATGCCAGAAGATATGCCAGATAGAATGCCAGATAATATGCCAGAAGATATGCCAGATAGAATGCCAGATAGAATGCCAGAAGATTTGCCAGATAGAATGCCAGAAGATATGTCAGAAGATATGCCAGATCATATGCCAGAAGATATGCCAGATAGAATGCCAAATAGAATGTCAGAAGATATGTCAGATAGAATGCCAGAAGATTTGCCAGTAAGAAAATGTATAAATGTCATGGTGGGGATCACACGAAGTAAAGTAATTTTTATAATATATATTAATATATAATATAATAATAATCATCATCAAGTATTAGTCCTGCTGTTGCTGTTGCTGTTGCTCCTACTCCTACTACTCCTACTACTCCTACTACTCCTACTACTCCTACTACTCCTACTACTCCTACTACTCCTACTACTCCTACTACTCCTACTACTACTACTACTGCTACTCCTACTACTCCTACTACTACTACTACTACTACTAGTAGTAGTAGTAGTAGTAGTAGTAGTAGCAGTAGCAGTAGCAGCAGCAGCAGCAGCAGCAGCAGCAGCAGCAGTACAAGTACTAGTACTAGTACTAGTACTAGTACTAGTACTAGTACTAGTACTAGTACTAGTACTAGTAGTAATGATAACAACAACAACAATTACACAATACCGGCCACAAGGATCACTATTTGTCTTGCTAAACACAACCACCATTATCGCCATCCGACAGGTGGGTGACTACATCCATATCTTTTATTCCCAGCAGGGATTTGGTCAGTGGGCTTGGTCCCCAGTGAATGGCTGAGCATTCCTGCAAGATGTGCAACTGGCGTTTACACTGCTATATCTCCACTTGATTCTCTGGGTCTATTGGCTTTGAAACATGTGTCAAATGGATTCAAATGGATTCAAATAGAACTTTGTTGATGTTGAACTGTTCCTGCCGTGCTTTTGTGCCCATTACCTTTTTGAACTTTAACAAGGGCAAAACTGGTTTCACATCAACTGGGCATGCCGATTTGATTTGATGCGAATTTGGGTGGCGGACCAGTGGTTTTTCCTTGAAACATATTGGGACCTAAATTGGTTTTCCACTTTCAGAAATCCTTCAAGAACATCGCTTGGCCAGTCATACTATAGTTGTTTGTGATACAAATGCTACTCTCTATACATCTCCCTGTCTCGTGCTCTCTGTCTTTCAAGCCCAGCTGCGTCGCAATATGACAATCCATTCAGCCATTGACTTGACATGACTTGGCCAATATGAATATTGCACGGCGCACCTCCAGTGCTACCCCTGCATATCATTGGATAGCCATTCCCTGCCATTCCCAGCGTTCCCAAAACTGCTTTCCATACTATCTCCAGCATGAGGCTCAATGGTATTTGGGAGACAACGGGACTGCTGGGCTGCTGGGTGTGTTTGAAACCCATCTTTCATCCAATTCTTCAGATCCTTTTTACGCCGAAAATCGCTTCATGTGGCCTGAAGTGATGGATTCCCGCTTCCCTGACGGCATTCACTGTTTGAATGATCTCTTTCTTCGGAAGTTTCACAGGTCAGGATGCTGGATAAGGAGGGATAAGGGTGTTTGCAGATTGTGTCTCCCCCCCAAAATGTGAATACTTGTGAATATTTTATATATCATATTTTATCTACAAGATCTTCGGTCACTTGTGATTGGAAGGGGAAATCTAAAACATCTTTTCATGTTTTTTTATACATTTTTTTTCTTGCAATTCTTCCGTTGGTTGAATCACCGATCACCTTCTTGTTGCCTAAACTCCCAAATTTCTTGCTGAAAGTCATTGTTTTGTTGTCAAACACTCGACATGTTGCCGCCTTGCGTTGGCTCTGGAAGGACCACGGTTGTTGACTTCACAATGGATAGCAGTTACGAGAGCAGAGATGCTGTCTTCACAGGCCGGAAAGAAAGGAGGTAGCGGTGAGTACTCCATATGTATATATATATATACATGCACCAGGCCCTGCCACCCCCCCCTCCCCCCCACCCCCATGGGATGGGTCCCATATACTGGCCCCATATGAGATCTTCCCCCTCCCCCCCCCTGTGGTGTGGTGGGGGTGTGGCACTGTTCCCCTCCCCCCCTGTGGTGTGGTGGGGGTGTGGTATGGTATGTTGGGTATGTATGGTGTGTATGGTCGGTCTGGTATGGCATGTTTGGAAAGTATGGTATGTTTGGTATGTATGGTATGTATGGCATGAGTGGTTGGTATTGTATGGATGGTAGGTATGGTATGTAAGTCTGTTGGGTATGGTATGTTTGATATGACAGTATGTATGGTCTGTATGGTATGTATGGTTACTATGATGGGTATGGAATATTTCCTATGTAAGGTAGGTGTGGTATGTATGGCATGTATGTTTGCTATTGTATGTATGGTAGGTGTACGTAGGTGTGGTAATTACATTTCATATGTATGGTATGTATGGTATGTATGAAAGATATGATAGGTATGGTATGCTCGGCATCATTGACATGTATGGTAGGTACGGTATATGTTAAACACAGGTAGTGTTGTCAGAGTACACAGGTAGTAAATAGGAAGTAGATACAGTAGATACATAGCACATGTATATATGACTATAGGTAGCACGTAGGTACTTTGAAGGAGTATGTGTGCTACGTAGGCCGCCTAAAAGGTAGCATGTATCTAGTAAATGCGAGGCTGGTAGTCAGAAATGCTGCAAAGACCTAGCAAATACGCAGCTGGACCTCAGAAATGCTGCCAATAGCTTGCAAATAGAAGGGAATTGGGGCTGCTACCTGGGGACCCAACCCATGGGGGGGGATGGAGAGACGGAGGACGGGACCATACATACATATATGCACGGATGCATGCATACATGCATGCATACATACATACATGCATGGATGCATGCATACATGCATGCATGCATACATAAATACATGCATGCATACATTCATACCCATGCATGCGTGCATACATATGTATATATATATACATACACACATATATACATACACACACATATATATATGGCTATGGGATGTTATGTCAGATCTTATTCCATGCATTGCATTTTTGGGATGATGGTCCCATTTTGGGTAGTCCCAAATATGTGGAAATCCCAAATGGTAGGACCATGGTTTCTGGATGTTTCGGGGGGTGTTTCATATTATGGGGAAGGGATTTGTAGCATAACTTGTTGATGCTTTTAGCCTTTTAAGCTGCTTGACATCCCACTCTTTGTTGTTTCTCTTCCCAGTTTGGCCACTTTGTATCTCGAATTTTCCCCGATCTCTCCATGTTTCCGCATGGTTTTTTCAAGGTACTAACTCCCAATCAACAACCAAGTCAATGGACGCCGCCTATTTGCGTAGATTTGACTGTAGCATTACTAATTTCAATGTTTGGATTATCTCAAGATTTGGTATCCCAAAATCCAGTGTTTAATGATGTTTGCTGCAATTATCACTTTCAACATCATGGCGAAACACGCATGTTGCTAGCTTAACATCCAATGCATTCCAAGCTCCAAATTGGATTAGTCTCCCTTGTGCATCCTTAATATCCTAAATTTGATCCGTACCCAATGTTTTTTGTAGGCTATGATTATAACCTCCCAGACAATCCGAATCAATTTAGCCCTTCGTTAATTTTTGGTCATATATTGCCATTTTGGTTGGTGAAAAATCCCTTATTTTGGGACCTCGGTCCCTCCCAGCATTTTGATGATTCCACTTCCCTACGAGGTGATGGTATCTATCTCCTGGTGGGCGTCGTGATGATGCCACAATGGGGGATGAAGAAGATTTGTCAGGAACGGTTGGTGGGGCACCTGGTGATGGTTTGGGTGGTGATGAATGGGATATTTAAGTTGATGAATGGTGTTATGTTTGGGTGGCATGTGTTATTTTTTCGGGCATGAATTGGTTGTATCAGGAAAGAATCATCGGAAATTATGGATTTACCATTTACCAGCCAACTTTGGGAGTTTTAGACTAGATGTTCCCTTCAGCTAAGATGACCTGTGGACACAAGTCGTTAGATCATCCTATCACTTCCTAGGTTTTTGTTGGGAACCCTGGTGACCCTAAAACTGGCCATGTAGCCAGTGCTTCAAAAAGCCTCGGCTCGGCCAGGATTGGAGGAGATTCGGGGGCAGCGGGAACCATGGTTATCCCATGGTGGTTCTAGACTTCAGTCGTCTTCGCCGTACCTGGCTGTTTCTTAAAATGAGTTCCTCACCGTCGAATGAGTTCCAGGTTGACCAGGTTGGTGTTTGGAACCTCGGAGTCACCCAGAAACACAGCAGCTGAGTCCTCCAGATTTGTTTCAGCTGACAAGAGGACACCAACTGCGGGCTGTACACCTGAAATCTGAGCCAACATGTTAATTTCTGCAAGAAACCACATCTAACTGAGATCCTGCCGGGGGTTGGGGCCACTTGGCCACTTACCTGTTCTTGGCGACACGTTTGAGAGTTGTGTGGTACCTTGCAACCCTCGGCAACCCTCCATTTTTTTTTTGAACAAAAGGAAACTGCGAGTGACATGATGAATTTTTCACCGATTTAGGGCTTCTCATCAGCCACAGCCAATTGTGGTTGCCAGGACCACATTGTGGTTCTTATTCCATCCTCATTGGCCTCATGGCTAGTTGCACAGCCATTACATGGTGCTATTTTTTTCCCATTATTTGGTTTCGGTTTCTTCTCGCTTACTTCGAATTTCTAATAGAAGTTGTTGGCAATGATCCCCGCTGATGTTGGTTGAAGCCGCTTCATGCAGTGCCGCATGCCAGAAATCTTATAGTATCTTATACCATGGTTTTGGTCAAATCCCAAGCCCTCTTGGATACTCCCAAGAATTACCAACGGCTTTTCTAATTGTTGCTATTGACATTCTCAATTTTTCTTGGTTGACTGCCAATGACAAGTATCGGTGAATTCTCCTTTTTGGATCCCTTTGGATCTTTGGCAATCAAAGATGGCCTAGTCCAAATCCCTTGTTTCTCTTGTTTAGTCCCATGTTTTTCCATGATGTCCTATGTTTTCCCATGTTTTTCCTGTTTCAATGACCCGGCAATGGGATTTCCCATTGGATTGCCGGGGCATCACCGACTCGAAAATGGGCCAGGAGCCGAACCTTCACGCTCCAGCAATGTAGCCGGCAGGCGGCCGATGATTGGACCAACTACACCCATACACTCATAGGTTGCTGGTAGATTGGGTACTGAGGATTAAGAGATAGATTCTTCATAATCTACATTGATAATGATGAAGATTACTGATAGATTAAGAGAATAGTACTGAGAATTACTGATAGATTCACTTTATAGCTAGGCTAAAATTGCTGGATCATCTGCAGTTTTCGGGGTGAAAGCTGGGTCAGCTGGGTGCAGTTGGTACCCCCCCGAAACAATACTCTTCGGTAATCAACATGGCTGGCTGCGAAATTGCCTTCAAATGTAGGTACGAATGGAACAATCATCTATAAATGGCCGATTTTATATTGACATGTTTGATTGTGTATGTTATAAACCTATGTTTTCCCATATGTTCAATTGGGAAAAGCTGTGTTTTCCTATGTTTTTTCGCATCAGCCATGTCTACCCGGATCCAGAGGGATCCCAGGTCACCGAGTATATGGTGTCTCAAGAGCTGACCGGCGCCACGGGGAGCAGCTTTTCAGATGACGTGCCCTGGGGATGGGAAATTGATGGGAATTGATGGAATCTGGGTGTCTGAACATGTCTGGTTTATATTTAATGGATTGGTTTACGGGAAAATCGAAACCGGAAACCCATGGGATTTTCCCATGAAATATGGGGTTTTCCGGTAAAAGTTCCCTTGAACCAATCCATTGAGTCTGAACATGTCTGTTTTCATGGGGAAATTGATCCTTGACATGGCCATGTTATCCATGTTTCAATGGGGAAATGGATGATTTACGTCTGATTTACCATGAAGTTTGTGGTTCTTCAGACAAAGCCATATCATGGATTTCTGAAGGGAACATCGTGGGATTAGTTCCTTGGTTACTCCAACCTACAATTGGTGAATCGTAGTCACCTTGGGTGTCACAAATATGTGATATGCGGATAGTTAACCATTTGGACCATTTAAGGTTTATAGTCATGATATAGTCATGAAACAAACTATGGTTCACTATTGATCAACCATTGATCAACCATTGGTGAATCATTGGTTAACCATTGGTTAATCCATTATGGTTGATCAATGGTTGACAGAGTGGCTCGCAGCCCCGATTGTGTGGTGGTTTGATCCATGGTAGCTAGTTTAACGGTTACTAAATATGGATCAACGGTTAATATGAGGATATAATGGTATAATATGACATAATGATTAAACAAACATCAATATGATGCTGGATACTGACCATTACATAATGAGAATGGGTTAGAAACCACAAAATGATGGGATATTATGAGATTTAGCCAGCAATTTTGGGTAATGCCAACCCTGAACTCAGAGATACCATGGCCAATGAATTAGGGGACCCGACTCCAAAGAGTGATTCCATTAGCCATTAGAATGCACCCTCCGAATTAAACCGACAGGGAGTGAATCAAGAGACATGCTGATACAACAAACTGCCATACCAACATATGCCAACAGCCAACATATGCCAACAGCCAACATATACCAACACATACCAATTTATAATAATACATACAAAAATATATACCACCATATACCAACAAATACCAACACATACCATTAAGATCGAACAAAAAATCGCAGATCTTCGCAGATCTCAATCTGCGCTTCGAGGTACATCTCTATCACCTGAGTTCAACCAGGTGCCGGCGGTCCGGAACTGGGGGAAATGCAATGGTCCAGAACTGCAATCATATGTATATATATATATACACATGTATATTATAAGATGTATAGAATGGGCAGATAATGGAGAAATAACCAACTAATCAATCATATGACAGGTGGATGTGCATGAAAATGGGGTGATCATCACTTTAATGGGGCAGACAATGAACAATCCTTGGGATTATAGGCATCCTATTGTTAGGTTGGCGCCTTTGATAATTGTGTAGTTTCGAATTCCAAATTTGCATGATGGCAGAACTTGACCACTTAGCACTCATATTTTCTAGGAGGTTGAAAGCAGCAAAGCCTCATTGCACATCCATGGTCCATCTAGGATCTCCCCGAAAACCTCACTGGGTTGATCTTGGGTGGTGGTTTCAACATGTTTCAAATAGCTTCTGTTTTTCATCCATGGGACAATGATGCTCATATTGATGATTGTTGTTGTTGATAATTATGATGATGATGATGATGACGATGACGTCGATGATGATTGTTCCAAGTTAAATAACATGACCAACTTTTTTTTGCACCAACATCTCCAGGTTGCTGTATCGGATCAACCTGCACCCAACGGTGACAGAGAACGTTTTGGAGTTTTCCTCCTTGACCTATGGCAGTGCCCCGGCTCTGTGGGCTCTCTGTCAGAAATCCAAAGAAATCTATGATAATATGAATAACATATGACCTCTGATAGTACTGATAGGGTATGGGTAGACTGCTAGGTATTTTTTCTCATTGACGAACTGTCAACCAAACACTCAAATAAGTATGGGTCCAAACCGCATTATTCCCCAAAATGGATAGGTGAACATCCAAACCAAGACTGTCGTTGTTCATTTTTGGGATCTTCACCAGGGCTACAGGGTCTTGACACACTACGGGCTCTGAGGGTTCAGGTCGGGGCAATTTTGATTTTGTGTTTTGGTTCCACAGAGATGGTTTGAGTTATCATCAATCGTGATTGATTTTTACACCACTTTTCTCTTCTGCAGTATATGTACTATATATAATATACAATATATATATATATTATATGTATATATATATGTATATATATATATATATGTATATATATATATGTATATATATATATATGTAAGATACAATATATCTACAGCTTATATTCTCATTTATGGTTGGAAAAAACCATTCGCCACTTCGCCATGCAAGCCGCGTGCCAGATGGTTTGACTGATTACACCTTTGACGGAGGCTTCCATGACGGTGACTCGGCGCTGTGACATGGGATCTGAAGATTTGATGATGTTTTGCACTTCTATTTGGCCTTATCCCCTTCAGCGATTCACATAAAGAATTATCGATAGATGTTTTGGTGGATCCTGCGGCGCACGCATGTCGCTGTACCGTGGCTCACATCTTGAGAAAATGCCACCGCTTGGCTGATCAATTTTTAGCTACGGCATTTCATGAAATGACAGATTATGACAGATTTTTTGGGGAATGTTTGTTGGTCTATTACGGTCTATTCAATTCTTTTAGTTTGTGTTTTTTTAGCCTTTGTTGCTTCCAACAGCATTGCGCCGTCCAAGGCAACTACGGCTACTTGGTACCTGGCATCGGTGACAATGTAGCCCAGCAGCATGCGACCTGGGGCACCCATTTTTTTCCTCAACTTTTTTTTGTCATCCACATATTTGGATGGTGAGACGGTGAGGATATCATGACTTGGTGATCTCAGTTGAAGTTCCGGTGATCCCCATGTGTCCCATGTATCGTCGCAACCATGAGCCGCTCTCCAGTTCGTCTTTCGCTTCATTCTGGAGACCTTCAATGGTGGGACCGGCGCTGCTGGTGCTGTTGGGAGGTGCTGTTTGGTTGAGGAAGTTGGATGCGTTTTTTTTTTGCCGCCGGTTAATTCAGTCTTTTGAATCGAGACTGGTTTGCCATGGTCCAATTCTTCCCCCCAAACATGTATCTTATGAATATTTATGAATAGCTGGTTAATATGTGGTTAATATACTGTTAATGATGATGCTTATTATATGGTTAATGATGGCTAGAATATTTATGAATCCAAGTTGAATTAAATCACCATTTGCCAGTTTTGGACCAAAATCACCAGGACTTTCTTAGATTTGTCCGAGATTGGCCAATCGGGCAACTGCAAAGATGGCTTTGCGCCGGGAGCCAAGTTGGTCATCATCCAAAGTACCATTGGAAGTTCCAAGTACTATCACTATGTCAATTTTTAATTGGTAGTTCCAATATGTTCTAATCAGGGCTCACAGATTTCTGAAGTTTCTTTGGATGGTGATTCTTGATACCCACATGTGTGTTGCCGTTCCTTCAAAAAAATCATCGTGCCGGAGGGTCCAGGGTTCTCATGGAATTGCACCCACCATGTCCGAGTGATCCGAAGTTTCTCTTTGGATGTCCCGATGTTTTTGGGTGACATCCTGCATCGTGGATCATCCTTGATGCTTTTAGCCTGAACCATTACCATGGTCACGATTTCGTGGAAATGCTGAGGAGTGGCAGTTACGGCTTCCTTCTGCCCGCTCAAGACGGCACGGCTGCCCAGCTCTCGAGTCGTGCGGTTGTTGACCGGACCTTGGCACGTCCAAATCGGTTTTCTCCGGTCAAATGGACCGCGAACTGGTTGAAGTCTGGATGGCCAAGCAAAAACAACACTCAAACACATTGAGGGTATGTAGACATTGTGATATCTAAATGTAGACATTCTATGATATATACGTAATATATATATACACGTAATATATATATATATATACGTAATATATATATATATACACATAATATATATATATATACATTATATATATATTATATATATACACGTAATAAATCTATATCTATATCTATATATATATATATATGTATAATGTCCTCTGTATATACTTGACTTGAAATCTCAAAATTCGGACACAGTTCTATGTGGCTTCGATTTTTTGCAACCCCCTGAGAGTCGGTGAACGATCAACAGGGTTACCAGTCATTGGAGAATTTCCCCAAGAATCCCATCCCAAAATGTATCCCAAAATGGATTAAACAAAGATCAGTCTATGATTCCATCTATCCAAAATATCTGTAGTTTAATGTTTGTTTATGGGAAATCATGGGATTTCTATGGGACATATCTTTGTTTGTCCCCTACCACTATGGTTTCTGGTGTCCTACGGCAGGCATCATTTTTCGGATCAACTTGACCTCCTTTGATGCATTCGACACTGAGTGCCCAGCTGAGAACGGCCAATTTCAAAGGTGTAGCAAAAGGGGAAATTATGGATGCATGCATACAGACAGACAGACAGACACACAGATGGACAGATGTACATACATATATGTATAGCTAAGTGCACGGATGACATTACATTGGACTGCGTTACGCCACATTGCATTGCATTGGACTACATTAAGATGCCTTACGTTACAAAGCCTAACATTACATCAGATTAAACAAAACACACACACATACACACGTTAATGTCAGGTCACATCACATCACATCAAATCACATGCCATCACATTGCACCATTGCATCATTGCATCATTGCATCATTGCATCATTGCATCATTGCATCATTGCATCATCGTCATGTATATATATATATATTATATCATAATACATGTTTATGTCGCATTTTATAATATCATATTATACGGCAGTATATCACATTCTAGTTTATTTCATCACATCACCTTGTACTACATTTTATGACATCACCTTGCACTACACTACGCGACATTGCATTATATCCCATTACATTACATCACATTACATGACATGACGTTACATCAGTTACATCACATGACATTGACATATGTACAGTTTATGTACACACATATGGCCCAATTTGGCGGTTCAAAATGACCAGAACTTGGTCATTGGATGATTCATAAAATGAGTATAGCTTCATAGCTTCCAGCTGCCAACATTTTCCTCGCCGAGGTATTTGGATCTCAGTCTACAGGACGGATGAAGTGGATGAAGCTGGGGAGTAGGGATGGTTTTTGATTGGCTTTACCGCATAGTACGCGTGCCATTTTTCTAAAAAAAATCAAAACATATGTAATGATAAGTGCGCGTGTAGGTATTTATCCAGCTTGAGTGGCAGATCGCCAGCTGAAATCCTGTATGCGGGGCATTGACGATACTCCGGACATGAGATCGTGAATTCATCAGGGTCCTTTGAGCAATACCAGATTGTACTAGTTTTGATGGGTAAAATATGGTAATGGCATTTTCTGAAATCGTGAGAACATGTGAGAACAATGAGTAGCCTCTAAAAATGATGTTTTTTCCGAGCAATTTTTAGAGGAAGCCATAGGAAGCCTGTCAATCCACCAGGATCATATGTCCAGCCGATTGGCTGTTTACCCAGTACCCAACCAAAGTGCCAGAGAGGCATGGTATTGCCGGCAAATGTGCTGGTTAGATCATGTTACATCCTCACCATCAATTGTTGACCAAAAATCTGATAGTAAACTATTTGGTGCTATTCCAATTTTGGTTGCTGTTACGCAAAAAAATCTTGTCCAGTATCAGCCTGTCCCTTGCTGGTTCCATAGCATCCCACAACGGGGTATTGTTCCATGGACAATATCATCCCATCTGCAGAATTGGCTTTCTTTGAAAATGGGAAAATGGCTATAGCCCATTTTCAGACACAGCCAAATACCATGTTAGTTTTTTTAAAGTTATATCCATCATACCCCCATTGTATCTTTTTGTGTTGATAGATGCCCATTGTATCCATCCAAAGCCCAAAGAGTGTCATCACATTCCGCGGTGTCATCACATATCGGCCTTTCAGGACGTTGAGTTGAAAAAGTTCGCCGGAGGAATTCAGGATGGTACCTGGTAGGTGAAGGATCCCGGGATCTTGGATATCTTGGCACCTAGCAATTTAAGATGCTTCACCAGTGCATGATATTTCTATGATATTTCTATTCATTCTGATGGTGTTGTTGTAATTGACATGGACACTGGATATTGGTTGACATATGTTTCCTGGAGTTTATGGAGAAATTTTGCTGAGGGCAGCCCTGGACAAAGATAGGTTAGCCCTAAATCCACATCGTTTCCTCTATCAAAATGGCATAACATGGCCATATTGGAGGTATACCCCATTGGCAAAGCCATTTTCGTGATGTTGGGGGAAATGACCATAGACTGCTGTTTTTGTTTGTTCCCGGCGAGTTTGAGGTACCTATGGCTATCTGGCACCCATGCAAGATTGTTGCGGAAACGATTTGAGGCCACTTGGTACCACCGAGATAGGAGGCTGTGAGAATTTCGGGAGCGCTTGGCCATCCAAGTAGAATTCGATAGCATGGGTCTTCAGAAAAAAACTGAAGTCAAATAGATTTTCCAGGATTTTCTCACATGTTGCAACTGCAGTGTGGCATCAAGCAGCAGAATTCTGCCCAAAAGCTCGGCTGAGGAAAGTGGTCAGATTCAGGTTGGATCCTTTCGAATATGTCGACTATTTGGACCTCAGTATCCTGAAGTGGAAGATAGTGGAAGGGGACGGGAGATGATGGGAGGATGGAGACTTTGATGCTAGTCTCAGAGACATCGGAAGAAATGAAAGTGGAAAAGTGACATGTTTTCAAGATATCCTCCAATGATTGCAAGAGTTTTTGCAAGCAAAGAAACCACAATGCAACTCTGACTCAATTTCTCTTCACTTTCCGACTTTCCAACTCTCATTTTTACATACCTATATTAGCCTATATATTTCCATATGTTGGTATCATATAGTATGTTATTTACATACCTATATTTACATACCCATATGTGATCAATCGAGATCCAAAGTTTCACTTTTTTTTGGGATGCGCCTCACATCGAGGTGTTTACGATTCGACGTTGGGAGGATTTGAAGGCATCTTCACTGATGGCACCTATGGATATCTCTATGGAGGTGGAACATCTGGTGGTTTCGGTGGTTGTGGCATCTTGATATGGCTCTGAAAATGGGGAAATTGCAACATAAAGCACATCATAATAGGGATATAGCTGGGATATGTTGGGACACATTAGGGATACATAATGGATATAATTGGATATACAGCCAGCAATTTAGTGACCATAAGATTATGGCGAACATGATGATAAAGTGTCAAACATGAAATTTGGAAGTACCCTATTTGTAGACAAACCCACATGGAAAGTGCCTTCAAGTGATGACTTTATTGACTGTATTGACTGGCATGCATATTCCCTAAATGATCTAAACAGCCAAGAATCTACGAATCGAGTTTCCCAACCACACGCTGATGTTCTTGTAGACATCATCAAAAGTTGAATTCTGTGAACTGCAGTTGAAGCTCCGCACCAGGTTATTCTTACAAAGTGGCGCGCTTCCTGCTGTCCAGCATGTATCTTGGCGAGCTGAGCAGCTGGAACAACAAGGCTGACAAAAATGAAGACAGAATCTAAAAGATGTACAAAAGATGTAGAAATCTATACATTTCTCGTTTTCTGATGTTTGTTTCATCTATTCAATCTATTCATAAATTTGCACAGTTATTTATTTAACATTACTCCGGATAAATAAAATCATATGTATATACTGTATATATATAATATTAGAATATAGTATATATGAGCGACGGCTCTTATTTGCGTATATGGAAAGTAGTATTCGGGCGTACCCCGGTTTGTCAAAAACATCATATTTAGCTTGTAAAACGAGGTAGGAACACCCCAAGAACGAGGTAGGCAAAAACGTTACGGGACTGGAGAACGAGGTAGGAACACCCCGTCAATTGCGTTATGTAACAAATATGGTTCGCAGCTCATATATATATATATATGTTATATGTTACACGTGCATATGTACTGCCTCTTTTTCCTGTATACTGCATATCCCCAATCATGCTGTCAGAAACTCGTTGCTCTGGGTGTGAAATGGTGTTTTGTTGGTATTCTTTGAGTATCTATACAATATCTGAAGCTCAAACAATAGTTTTAATTGTTTCTTTTGCTGTTTAACTATCTACCATATACATATTTATATGTATACATAGACATATTTATATGTATACATATACATATAAATATACACATACACATACATATACATATAAATATAACATACATATACATATGCATATAAATATATACAGACATATACATATAATTATACATATACATATACATATACATGTATACCTATACCCATACATATGTATATATATATATATATAAAATGGGCTAGCGCCCGGGTGCCGCCGACCCCCTTTTTGTCCCTCTTCTGTGTGTATTCTAGTGGGTGATTAGGTCAATGGCATGATTTATTTAATGTTTTTTTCTCTTAGACTGCCATTGTACCTGCCCATTAACCATGGAATTTCACCACGTGCATGTGGGGGTGCTTGGATGTATTCAGGTCTTTGCGAGACGATTTTTTGCAACAGCGATTTTTGTTTGAAATCCATCTCTGCTTGGCATTCATGCTCCATTTCAGCAGGGGATGCTTGCAAATGATGACCAGGCACCTGAGGCACCTGTGATCAGTGGGTCAAAGCCATCCGCTGAGCAGCTGGAATGCAATAAAGAGACTGCTATGGGTCACCAGTTGGGACAACCCAGGGGATAGAGGTTGGTCAGCTGTATCCTCTTTTTTTTTGAGCTGGCCAGCTTTTGACCATCACCACACTGGGTAAGGATTTTACATGGCGTCACATCATGACATCGCAAGCGGCAGGCTTGAACGCCCTTAAAAACAGATGGCGGGGGTTTGTAGCTGCGAGAGTTGCCTTGGAAAGGCCTGCGGAAGAGTTGGAAGCGTTTGAGGCCGGGCAAACGGCAGGCTTGAACGCCCTTAAAAACAGATGGCTGGGGCGTGTAGCTGCGAGAGTTGCCTTGGAAAGGCCTGCGGAAGCGTTGGAAGCGTTTGAGGCCGGGCAAACGGCAGGCTTGAACGCCCTTAAAAACAAATGGCTGGGGCGTGTAGCTGCGAGAGTTGCCTTGGAAAGGCCTGCGCGAGCGTTGGAAGAAGCGTTTGAGGCCGGGCAAACGGCAGGCTTGAACGCCCTTAAAAACAGATGGCTGGGGCGTGTAGCTGCGAGAGTTGCCTTGGAAAGGCCTGCAGAAGCGTTGGAAGCGTTTGAGGCCGGGCAAACGGCAGGCTTGAACGCCCTTAAAAACAGATGTCTAGGGCGTGTAGCTGCGAAAGTTGCCTTGGAAAGGCCTGCAGGAGCGTTGGAAGCGTTTGAGGCCGGGCAAACGGCAGGCTTGAACGCCCTTAAAAACAGATGGCGTGTAGCTGCGAGAGTTGCCTTGGAAAGGCTTGCGGAAGCGTTGGAAGCCTTTGAGGCCGGGCAAACGGCAGGCTTGAACGCCCTTAAAAACAGATGGCGTGTAGCTGCGAGAGTTGCCTTGGAAAGGCCTGCGGAAGCGTTGGAAGCGTTTGAGGCCGGGCAAACGGCAGGCTTGAACGCCCTTAAAAACAGATGGCTGGGGCGTGTAGCTGCGAGAGTTGCCTTGGAAAGGCCTGCGGAAGCGTTGGAAGCGTTTGAGGCCGGGCAAATGGCAGGCTTGAACGCCTTAAAAACAGATGGCTAGGGCGTGTAGCTGCGAGAGTTGCCTTGGAAAGGCCTGCGGGAGCGTTGGAAGCGTTTGAGGCCGGGCAAACGGCAGGCTTGAACGCCCTTAAAAACAGATGGCTGGGTCGAGTAGCTGCGAGAGTTGCCTTGGAAAGGCCTGCGGAATCGTTGGAAGCGTTTGAGGCCGGGCAAACGGCAGGCTTGAACGCCCTTAAAAACAGATGGCTGGGTCGTGTAGCTGCGAGAGTTGCCTTGGAAAGGCCTGCGGAAGCGTTGGAAGCGTTTGAGGCCGGGCAAACGGCAGGCTTGAACGCCCTTAAAAACAGATGGCTGGGGCATGTAGCTGCGAGAGTTGCCTTGGAAAGGCCTGCGGAAGCATTGGAAGCGTAGTTTGAGGCCGGGCAAACGGCAGGCTTGAACGCCCGTGAAAACAGATGGCTGGGGCG